CCTTAAACTTACAATGGTCTTAAGCCTACAATATTCATGAGTGGGCGGAGCTTATGTGACCACGTCATATGGTGTGCCCTTAAACCTACAATGGCCTTAAGTTTACAATATTCATAAGTGGGTGGCTTATGTATGCACTGCATCTCACCTGAACACGGAAGTGCATCGGACTTCTGCCGAGTTGTAACAGCATACAGCATATGCCGGCACTCCATTGTTTGCGGTTCATTCACTATAACCTAAACAACCTGTAACTTCTGTGTTAAATATGAAAACGATCATAACAATGAATCCCTGTGAAATGAACAAAGCGAACTGTATATTACAAAGTGGTGTTGAAAGATTGTGTATTTTTTAGGCAAGAATGTTACGGTAGGAGATTTAACATCTTTGATTGTCACCTTTCTTTCTGTCATTTGATCCTGGAAATTTAATACTGGAAACGTGCTGAATATATTAAAAATAAAAATAATTCTAAAATGCATTTTTTCTATAAAAAAATTCACACCAGTACGTCATAACAACACTGTTGTTGAGATGCTGAATGTTGAAGCATCTTGCGAAAACAAACATAAAACCTCAATCTGAACGAAGACATATGGAACCTCTTAAGTTTAGTACCGTTTACTATAGGCATCCTAAATATTAATGATATTTGTTTGCTTACTTGTTGTTTTTCGGCGCACTCAAGCTGCATAACAGCGGTCTGTAAATAATCGACTCGGGCCAGACAATCCGGTGATTACCATCATGAACATGTATCTAAGCCATTGGTATACGATGACAAGCATCAGCCAAGTCAGCGAGTCTGACCACCCGATCCTGCTGGTCATCTCTTACGTCAAGTATATATAGTCGCCTCTTACGATAACCTTTGGTTGCTGAATATTCTCACCAGAATTGTATACTTGTGCTGAATAAAAACCCTAAGGGCAATATAAATTGTAGTGAATATAGACCCAATCTAGACATTATATAGCGTATTGATGTTTTATGAAGGATGAAGATCGACCCCATAGGCGTTATAAACAGCAGCGATGTTTTCTTGAGGATGAAGAGAGTAGTGATGTTTTATTGGTAATGAAGTTAGACCCCATAGGCATTATACGTTGTAGTGATGTTTTATTGGTAATGAAGTTAGACCCCATAGGCATTATACGTTGTAGTGATGTTTTATTGGTAATGAAGTTAGACCCCATAGGCATTATACGTTGTAGTGATGTTTTATTGGGGATGAAGATGGACCCCATAGACATTATAAACAGTCGTGATGTTTTATTGATATTGATGAAGGACCCTCATAGGCATAAACAGTCGTGATGTTTTATTGATATTGATGAAGGACCCTCATAGGCATAAATAGTAGTGGTGTTTTATTTATGATGTAGATGGAACCCATGGGCATTATAAACAGTAGTGGTGTTTTTGTGAAGTTAAATATGCACCCCATAATCATTATAAACAGAAGCGATGTTTTATTGAGGATGAAGATGGACCCCATAGGCATAAATAGTAGTGATGTTTTATTGGTAATGAAGTAAGACCCCATAGGCGTTATGAATAACAGTGGTGGTTTAATGGGCTGATGATAGACCCTGTAGGCATTATAAATAGCATTGAGGTTTTATTGAGGATTGAGTATGGAAGCAATAACCAAATAATATCAAGTATCATATTTCAACAATATTTCTTCATGTGCAACAATGAATGTCTTATGAAATATTGTGTAACATTGTTTCAATACAAAACAGTTAAATTGCGTCGGACAAAGTCTCACTATGATCCTGTATACGTCTTCTATGGTATTTCTTGTGCCATTCAAATTTTTCCATTTGTAAAAAATAAAAACCTTAACTTTCATAATTCCATAAAAACAATCCCAATACGGTTACAAACATCAACATAAAGCACTAGAATATTCAAGTCTGCTGCATCTGAAAACAAGAGTCATCAACGGATGACCTGTCACCACTCTCCCCTGGTCCCCAATTGAATTCTAAGATCAACACAAAATGAAGTTATGTGTTTTATTATGTTAGATCTTATATCCAATATTGTTTTGTGGTAACAAAACGCAATAAGTTTAGTAGACTGTTTACAACATCTCAGCCAGTAGCCTCAGTCTCTGAAACCATATGACTCCGGCCTAATGCATGTTTGTGAAATAAATAAATAAATAAATAAATAATCACAGCTTACGCTAGTATTGTTTGTACGCTGGAGATCTGCTCCAGGAACCAAATGCATCTCCAAAATCTCTGATTTTTTTCCTGTCAGACACAAACATACAGACACAAACATACAGACACAAACACGCAGATATAATGATGCATCATTGTTTATGGCACTGACGTTGTCTACCAACTGTGATGCACTGAAACACTCGTCAACTAATGGCGAATATAATTCTCAAAAACAGTTTCAGCTTTCTATTCCTTGTGGTTCAGGAGCAAAACAATTTAAACCTTTTTTCGTGATTTGATTCGTTTTAAAACTGTTCACAAATAAACTTGAAATAAAATCACAATGATTTTAACAAATAAGAGGTTTTGATTATGAGGAACACGCATACCAAATTTCAGCCTCATCGGTCAAGAAATAAAAGAGAAGGTCTCAGAACACAATTATTTTCATCCTCTGCAACAGTGACATCCCAACTACAGGGTTACTGGGGGTCATAGGGTCATGTACCTTTTAAGTAGTCTGTCATTAGAAAGAGACCGATCTTTGAATTGCGAAAGGACACTCACTCTTGCCTTAATGGTTGATTCAGCTTTGACAATGCACTTGCTATCTTACACCTTTGTGAAATTCTCAAATATACTGGCTAGCTATGATTAATACCAACAAATTTGTTTTTATTTCTGATGAAAATGTCAGATCATAATTAATGCAGTTTATGTCTTGCTAGAGAAGAAACTATGTTACATGTTTTCTTGTTCTTTTCGACAGTTCTTACGTCTTGGGTAACATATAGCTGCTCACATGTGTTTGTATCAAACTGGATAATCAGTTTGTATTATCTGGAATAAGGCAAAATACTATTACTGATCATGTAATTCATCTTAATTTGTTATTTACCAAATGTTTAATTTATAAGTGTAAATTGAATTTGAAAAAAAATATCCAAACAGATTTTATACAAATAGGGCATCACATCATATATTGTTTGAGGATAAAAATTGTGTCACTTGAATACCTGGAATTGTATGTAATAGTTTTTGCTTCAGTTTTGTTATATATTCTACATGTAGTACAGAATGAATGAAAGTGTTGTGTGGATGTGTGGATGAAAGTGGGGAAACAATCAGAATCTCTGTTCATATGGTTATTTTTTATCCAGAAAGAGGATTGCACATTCCTGAACATAAGAAGATATTGAGAAAGGAAACCAACTCAAGTCTAGAATGATTTGGCAAGTCCTAATTGCCTCAGCCCTGGGCCTGATTAATAAACACAGTTCTAGGCGCCATTTGGATTTTAGTATATATATTTATATCATAAGTATGTTAACTCTTTTTCTGGGACAACATGTTAAACCACTCCCTGGAATCTTATCAGGGTTTCTGAAATTAAAAAATATAGTTGAAAAATATCTTGTAGTTGATCTACTTTTGCCATACGCAGAGATTGCCTTACCTTTGCATATAACAAATAGAGAAAGATCTATTGTATAAGTATAGAGTTTGATGACAAGAAGTTTTTACTGTGTTGGGTATAAAAATAATAGCAAAAACATGTCAATGTTTCGATTAGGGCTACTAATTCGCGTAACTTTCAATCTGTCCGAAGTCGAGGCTCGCAAATACAGTACAGCACAATCTTCAAAAACACATAAACTACATGTTGTATACCTGATTGTGCAAATTGTGAGTGAAACATCGTATCACGCAATGACAGCCGAGACAGCTAGCTCACATAATGAGTGAGTGAGTTGGGGTAAACGCCGCTTTTAACAGTATTCAAGTTATATCACGGCGTGTCAGCTTGTTGTGGGAGGAAAGCCCGAAGTGATGCAGGTCTCAGACGTTTACCACTTCGGTGAACTAGCTCACATAAGCTCCACCCACTCATGAATATTGCAGACTTAAGATCAAGTAGGAATATATGATACTGCTGTCTACTTTGTCAATGATGGAATCGACCGTTTAATATTCGGGGGGTGCGTGAGATCACACACACACACACACACACACACACACACACACACACACACACACACACACACACACACACACACACACACACACACACACACACACACACACACACACACACACACCACATGTTCCTTTCATACGACTAACTTCACATGATCCCTGAACGCCACGTCTCAAATCCAAGACGACTACTTGAACATTGAACTGGCCCGCTATGCCCCCTGATATCTGTTAGAGCATCTGTGGGATGTTCTCGGGCGGAGAGTGTACGCCAGATACACAGCACCCGCCAATGTGGCCCAGTTTGGGGTAGCTCTTCAGGCGGATGGCGGGCAATACCAGGGGCAACCATACACAAGTTTACCAACAGTATTCAACCAGGGCGCGGTTCATGTATATCCAGTACTGGCTCACTAGAAAATACTGCTTCCCTGAGCTTATACCGCCGCGCCAGCTTTACTTGGCTATGCTTAATAGCTACGCTCGACTGGTTCCCGTTGTTGAGAGCAGCGACCCCAAGCGGAGGAGCTAAGTCTAGGTGTGAGCGTCTGGGTTACTGTGTATTCTGCGTCGTGTATACTTGATGAACAGAAATAGTTTCTTAAAACACGAATGCAATTTTGTACTGGTAACATAAAAAACTGTAGCGGATATAATCAATATGGAAGATTCTCCCTTACATCTAATATGCATTGATGGTAAATATTATTTATTGCAGATAATCTTGAAACACTACTCGAGACGGCCAGAAGGCATTGTTCCAGCAGGGATTTGGACAAAGTGAAAGGTCTTTACCGCAATAAACCCCGCGACTATTTCGACGAACTTCAAAACAATATCATGACACCACAATTGAAGGACAACGGAGGAAATCCACACTGCCCCATAAACGGAACACTTGAAGGTGTGTTCTTCGGGGTGACGCTGTGGGGCGGTTATCTACCAACTATATTCCCATTTGGAGACACCAGAGTGAAGGTTCCCCTGGAGCGAGTCTTTGATGAGTCAGCCAGGCTGTACTTCGCGGATTTCTTTCAGCCACCTCAAAGTATCAACCACTTCGTCACATTGGTTCTGACAGAGTGTGATTCAGAAGCGGATCGCTTCTGTCGGAAACACCTCGTTCGTCTGGACGAAGAGCAGAACGTATTTCTGAGGAAGGAAAGGGGCAAATATAAAACGCTCAAACAGGACAAAGTGTGGGTTGAAGTGTTCTATACGCATGAAGTGGACATATCGGGTCTGAAGCTGACTAAAATGTGATGTGATGGGGGAGAAGCAGTAGCTCAGGAGGCATACCTAAAACATCTGTTGTAGAATATGCTGTGTTTAAATCTGATAACACACCAGTATTTATTTCGCAAATGTTTTTATTGTAAATGGTCGTCATAAGGTCGAGATTGGTCTCTCAGCAGTGCCATATGAATCACCTATAAACACTATAATGGATGTTTGACTATAAAAACTGTACAAAAACTGATCAATATTTAATTCTTGTGACTGATATCAATACCATATGTGATGTACGAACTAACATTTTCGCCAGTTTAAATAATATTTGGGAAATAAATATATTTTCGATTTTAACGTGTCTGTCGTTTGCAGAAATGTGAATTAAAATCTGTTAATGAGAAAGTAGGATTGTTCATACATATGCTATTTTTTGCTTAATGAGTGAGTGAGAGAGAGAGAGAGAGAGAGAGAGAGAGAGAGAGAGAGAGAGAGAGAGAGAGAGAGAGAGAGAGAGAGAGAGAGAGTGTGTGTGTGTGTGTGTGTGACATTGTATGGAGTTCAAAGTAGTCGTCTTGGATTTGAGACGTGGCGTTCAGGGATCATGTGAAGTTATTCGTATGAAAGGAACATATGGTCTTTCGGGCTCATTCAGACACAAAGCCAATTGAAAAAGATATTTTGCGTTTGGATAAGTGTGTCCATGGCCATAGACACACACAAATTCTCTTGGCAAGTGTATGACATCCTTCGTATGACGCTCTCTTAATACTGCCCTATCGCGGAACAGTGAAAAACAAATTTGTATGGCTTCATGCTATAAGTATTTCAGAGCAGTTTCCTAAAATGTGAAGAAGACATATTAGATTTGACCTTCCTTATAAAATTAAAGACACACAGACATTTTATTTAGTAGCAAAAGGCAAGTGGCTCACAGTACAATGAAAATCATAGAACAATTTGTCATGTGGAAATAGTTGCAAGAAATATTAAGATTTACTACATTTAGTATAAAAAGAACACGTTTAAGAAACAAAACTAAACAGTGAATATGGTTAATATTGTTCTAATTTAATACATTCACCATTGTCTGTAACCATTGGTACATCTGAGATTGGGTAAATATATATTCGTAAATGTGTAAACAAAGTAAAAATAAACAATACATTCACTTTATATTCTCATCAGAATCACAATTCCTACGTATGACAGCTTACTGATCAACACAATATAATTTACGGATATAATTAACATTAAAGTTAAATTTGTGAAACACCCCAATTAACGCCTTATCATGTAACTTTGTGATGTACATTTCTGTTTCAAATGATGCTCTGATATCTGAATAATGTGTTAAACAGTTTGAAGTACATATTGACTGGTGCCAGTTTTGAATATAAATATCTTTAGCTGTTGGCGCAATTATACATATAAACAGCTTTTCGTCACCAACATTTTGTACAAGCCATACACAGCTCATCTGTGGGACAATAACATTTATAGCTAAAATGGTTAGAATTATCATTAAACCGCCCGCTTGTTATCAGAAATGAGCGGACCACTGTAACTTGATAACGACCTCATATTGCTTGACGACGGGCCACTATCACGCCCGTTGTTAGGTGACGCCATAGGGAGTCGGATTTTGACATCTGGTTTGTTCTATGACGTTTCAATGTTTCTTGTTTGCATTTCCAAAGCAACAAGTTTACAAAAGAATTTTTTTTAAATTCTCAAACTCACTATTTCTATTTCTAAACCTATCCTTGTTCTAAGTGGCATCTAATAAAATAAGACGTTCACGATATATCTTTCTCGCAATAAGAACTCTGGCGGATAATTTAGAAAATATGATATCAGATAACAAACACGAACAAATGTATATATTCACACTGACCTTTGTACAATTTATCTTGAGGCATTGAAAGGACTATAGCCAACGCGGGGCTATAACACAGGGTAGTGGGTGTGAGCATGTAGTTGTTTGAGCAGCCGTGCATGCATAACAGTAGTTGTCAAGCAAAGGTATACCTTAATAAAGAAACGTTCAACTTTATATCTATACTAGGGGCGGTCGGGTAGTCAAATGATTAAAGCGTTCGCTCGTCACGCCTAAGACCCGTGTTCGATTCCCGACATGGGTACAATGTGTGAAGTCCATTTCTGGTGTTCCCCGCAGTGATATTGCTGGAATATTGCTCAAAGCTGCGTAAAACCAACTCACACAATCACTATAACTATGCTAAACAAAAAAAGAAACGTCGGGCTTTTTTAAATCAAAATTATATTTCATTGCCATGTAAACTATCATATAATAGTCCATAGCATGCACTGCTTTGTGAGAAGATATTAACAGAAATCGGTCAGTGAAACATCCGTGGAACGATGTGGCTGACGTTAATGTGGAAAGTAACATATTATCAGAACCGTGTGTAGCCACCGTCTGCTTCAATCAGAGCTCTGTATCGGCGTCTCATTGACGTCACTAATGTCTGCATTTCTTGTTGTGGAATGTTATTAAAACTCCGCAAACAAGACAGTTTCAAGTTCCGGGATGTTCTGAGGCTGATTCTGACGTTGTCTTACACGTCTGTCAAGGAGTCCCACAAATGTTAAATTGGATTCATGTCCTGACTTTTGGTTGGCCAAAGCATGACATCCACGTGGTTAGCCTGCAGGAAGTCCCGTGTGATGCCCAAACCATTACAGATCCAGCACAAGCGTCAACATAACGTTCACTCCTCCGTCTGTACATCCGATGTCGACCGTCACCTCAGGAGAGTGAAAAACGGGATTCATAACTAAAGAACACACCCTGTCAGGTACTCGAGTCCAACGCAGATATGCACGAGCTCACGCTCAACGTTGACGTTGAGTAAGAACTGCCCCAAGGTATGGCCTCCTGGCTCTCAGACCATGCCGTCGTAACCGAATGCGAACAATTTCAGCACAGGTTCTGTTGTTATGAGTTCCTTGAGTGGTCTAGGCAATAACAGTTGCTGGGAGGAAACGATTGCGTAAATGTGACGTCACAATATAGCGGCCTTCAGCTGGTGTTGTCACACGTGGACGTCCACTTCTCGGACGATCAGTGGTCACTCGAGTTGCATTGTAACACTTCCTCGAACGTTGTACTGACGTCAAACACGCACCAACTTGTAATGTAACGTCTACAGTACGCATTCCTACAAATCATCTTCAAATCTAGACTGACAACCCAAGTAATTGTAACCTGTTTGTTGTTAACAAATTTGATATAATTTGTTAATACCTACTTGGGTGTCCCACTTCTTTTACATTAGATCTCTGATGTTACACCTAATCATATTATCGCAGTATGAAATTAGAATTGTTGTCCTAGATTTGTTGATGACCAATGATTCCAACATGGCTTCGTACCAAAGAAAAAGACAATGTCATATTTGCCAGTAGCAAGGTCATTGTATTATTCTGTAATTTCACGTGGACGTTGATGTTAACGGGACATATTCTTAATGACCTGAAGACTGGAAAGGAAGTAAGAAAATATCACGTACTCTTTATGTTTAGATTAAGCGTTTATATATTTGAGAGCTGTTTGATTCTGCTTAAGTAGTCTTTAAGTACTCTTGATGATATAGTTTTGGATCTAATGCTCCACCATTCTTGGATCCGTCTGTATCTATGGATTTGTAAGTTCTATAAGTGCTTCTTTACTCGGTATGTTCTAGCTTATAAATTAACTGATTTGTATCCGATTTCTTTACTTTGGTTAACGCCAGATCGACATGTGGCTTTATTTACTGCCACAGAGAATAATACACAGTCTGAGTGGGAGATATAATTGTAAGGTTAATATTTGCATCCGAAATGGTGGTATTTATTCTTATTCCATGTGTTGTAATAAGTCCAGGGCCTTCGGGTATATATTCTTCATATACGATAGGACATGGAATAGTATTGCCCCACACTATGGTTCAGTCTCCTTCTATATCATTGGGGGCACGGGTGGCCCAGTCGTCTAAGGCGCCGCGATTCGCTGTGCAGAGTTGCGTCCCTTGGGCACGCCAGAAACCTATGATTGTGGGTTCGAATCCAGGTTCGCCCCGATTATGTTTCTAGGTTGGTCAGCACCATACCCGTGCTCGTGGGTTTCACCGAAGTGGTAAACGTCCGAGACCTGCATCACTTCGGGCTTTCCTCCCACATTAAGCTGACACGCCGCGATATAACTGGAATACTGTTAATAGCGGCGTTAAACCCAACTCACTCACTCACTCATTCTATATCATTTCCCGACACATTTTTGATTATGCAGTGTATCCTATATATTTGTCCTCTGATAAATAGGTTGGACCATCCTTGCCGTCGTAGCTTCGTATCTGAAGAGACGTTTTTATCTCCATTCCATCACTAACTTAGCACATTATTTGTCTTTCTTTACATAAGTGACGGTAGACGAGTCGAGTAAAGGCGATGGAACCACTTGTTTTAAGAACAGTGCTATTTGATGTAGCAGCTACTTTTGGCGTCATTCTAATAGGACAAAAAGCGAACCTATGGCGGCTAGTGGGTTCATGATACTTTCATAATAAAATTGATAATATACGCTGAATAATCAATGTTTATGTGTGGCGGTACAAAGTTAGCATGGTGTATTAAATGTACATTATGAATGGTCATATACAAGGTATGTGTGTTAATATCCAAGGAAAGCGTTTGGACAACCGAATTTTGGATTTAATCATATTGGGATGTATGACAATATGCATCGGAGAACTAATGCAGTCTTGACTTATTATTGCACCCGCTCTCTACTCGATTATCATAATATCTGAAGCTTGGATCAAGGCACACAAGAACCCAGGCAGTAGTTCAGTCATGGCATAACAAGTAAATGTTATACATTAATAGTAATATATTAAGACCTGTCAACGATAACTAGCAACATATTTTTTGTCTGTTAAAACTAGTTTGAGACCATTTACAAGAGGAAACTATTTTTCAACAACACAAAATAAAAATATATATCGTCAGCAACCAAAGACCACCATACTACGTTTGCCAGGAAGATGCGACGTGACGTTAAGTCCAATAACAACTATTAGATAAGGATAATCCTTGACAGACGTTATGAAACAGTAGTTATGAATTATCGCCTAGCCTAATAACAAACGCATTGCTATGTTTTGAGTGTACTGTATATTTGATGTACGTGTTAACAATAACAACTTCATCTTCTAGTATTCAATGTTGATTCATGTCCTAATCATGAATGCCCAGTGGATCAAACTGCCGACTCCGATCTGCCCAGTCCGTATTGATCCCCTTAATACCGAGCGCCAGATAGGGTAAAAAGCAAGTACTGTCTTTTAACGTCCTTTAGTATGATACTTCCAGTGGATGGAACTACCGAGCTTCTGCTCTCCGGGCGACGCTCACCACAGAGACGGTTTAACGACGAACAAGTAGATTGCATGGCAGAATTCCCACTGCATATTTAAACGTGTTTTTCGGACAAGGGAATAATGCAACTCGGCTCCGTTACCGAATGGATCCATTAATATAACCGGTTTAACCACAAAAGGAATGGTAATTAAACGAACAATCACTTTCACGTTTTGACATTGTTTTTTGGAGCCAACAGCGGGATGACTCGGCACTGGTATCAATCGTTTCGCTTGTTTGTTGTTTAACGCCGCACTCACCAATATTCCAGCTATATGACGGCGCTCTGTAAATAATCGAGTCTGGGCCAGACAATCCAGTGATTGACATCATGAGCATCGATCCACGCAATTGGGATCGATGACATGCATCAACCAAGTCAGCGAGCCTGTCTATCCGATCCCTTTAGTCGCCTCTTACGACAAGCATAGTCACTTTTAAGGCAAGTATGGGTTGCTGAAGACCTATTCTACCACAGATCTTCACGGTCGGCACTGGTATCAATTTTAATCTATTTCTAAAACTTTTTTTCCTTCAAAGAAAATGGTATTGTGGTATCGCATTGTTTTTTGTAGCTTACAGCTGTAACATTGTCAACGGACACATCTGTCTTAATGTATTTATACCACTTCCATTTACTGATACATAGATCATGGCCGTGGGAGGGACTCGGACAGGTACTTCTGCCTATTGACTGTTATGGAAACTGCATTTACTGACGTGGTTTGAATTGTTCCTCAAGCAGCCTTAGCTGGATCGGGTGGTCAGGCTCCCTTGGGTGGTCAGGTGACCTGTCAGAGTGTGTGTTATCGCTCCCCGACGCCGTGGGATGTTGCTGATAATACCAGTCACTGGATTGTCTGGTGCAGACTCGTTTATGTACAGGTCGCCGTACAATACTGGAATACTGCTGAGTGCGCCGTCAACAACGTCTAAAATGACCGGGTTTAAGGAGTACTAGTTGTACACGTCTAACGGGCCGATCATTGTCTGTGAGTTGTTTGTGAAGTCCATTCCTGGTGTCCCCCGCCGTGATATTGCTAAAAGCGGCGTAAAACCCTACTCACTCACTCACTGTGAGTTGTTGCTGTTTATGTCACCAGACAAACATCAGGCTTACTAGACAAGATCAATAGCTAGTGTGTGCGTGAGAATGCGCCATACGCTACATTGGTATGATAACAATGCCACTGTATTTTGTTACGTCATATTCTGCAGGGTTGTAATTGTCAGTGTTATATCAATGACCTAGTTTAGAGTTCCTGGAACGTTTGCGGTTCGTAGAATCCGTAATCAATAGCCAGTGTAGGCCGGAGTAGACAGCGTGGCTTGAATAACACACACACAACACAGCTAGTATAACACTGGAGTGACTTTCATACGTCCGTGGGCTCACGTGGGTGTGAGCAACGTACAAGTAGTTGTGCAGTTAAAAAAATATACCAGCCATATCACGTTGCCAAGATATGATCGAGTATGGGCCAGGTAAACAAAGCAAATGAACAACGATTCGTGGCCTTGGGCTCAATGTTACACAGTCAACCAAGTCACTGATCATGAGTGAGTGAGTGAGTATAGTTTAACGCCGCTTTTAGCAATATTCAAGCAATATCACGGCGGGGGACACCAGATGCTTCACACAATGTACCCATGTCGGGAATCGAACCCGGGTCTTCGCGTGACGAGCGGACGCTTTTACCACTAGGCTACCCGACCGCCCCTCACTGATCATGACCCCGCGATGCTTTTTAGTCAGGTCCTACGACAAGCATAGGAAAAGGGGCCTATATATTCTTACCCCAAATCCCAGTGGCGTGTCATGTTGGTGCATGCATGATGGTTGAAATAGATTAACATTTTGATGTGGGTGAGTGAGTGAGTGAGTGAGTGAGTATGGTTTTACGCGGCTTTTAGCAATTTTCCAGCAATATCACGGGGGGTGGCGGGGCACCAGAAATGGGACTTTACACATTGCTCCCACGTCGGGAATCAAACCCGGGTTATCGGCGTGACGAGCGAATGCTTTAATCACTAGGCTACCCGACCGCCCCCATTTTGATGTGTCTTTTAAGACTTGACTTTGTGCATATGTAATCAGCATCGATGTTATCTTTGTTAAGTCCTTTCTGATCGTCCCTTCTCTACCCTTTGAACTTAATAGAATAGAGCGACGTCATGTGGATATCCGGTTAAAGTAGTTCCCACCAAACGTGTTCTGTTTGTGTGAGGCGACAAAAAGGGATCGGGTGGTCAGGCTTTGTGACTGTTTCATCTAACCCCGACAGCGGGGAGCGTTGCTGATTTGTATGCGCCAGTCTGTTATTTTCAGGACGTCGTCATATAGCTGGAATGTTATAGAATATGCCGTTAAACAATAAACAAATAAACAATAAGTAACAAATCATGATTTTCAAATAAATATTCTTATTGCAGAATATCTACGGCAGCTGCTACATGAAGTAGATGAATACTGCGATGGAGGGATGGAGGAACATGGGTAGATGCTCTGTATCGCAAAAAACATCCTCTTACTTCAGAAATATTTAAAGAAGACGCTGTAACATCATGGACCCTCACACGTGGACAATGGAGGGGCACACAATCAGTGTCCATTCAATGGGAAGCTGAAGGGCCTGTTTGGGGCGATCCTGTGTAACAGTGGTCTGCCAGACAGGCTGCCATTATGATGGTTTTTGTATTTTGATGCTTTACGCCGCACTCAGCAGTACTCAAGCTATATGTCGGCGGTCTAAAAATAATCGCATCTGGACAAGATAATCCAGTGATTGACATCATGAGCATCGATCTACGTAATTGGGATACGATGACATTTGTCAACTAAGTCAGCGAGGCTGACCACCCGATCCCGATAATCGCCACTTACGACGAGCATAGTCGCCTTTAACGGCAAGCATGGGTTGCTGAACACCCGAGTGACAATATCACTGAGGGACGTTTCTGATGCATCAGCATTTCTATACTTTACCGATTTTCTACTGCAAGCCGTCACGCAAACACATTCATTATATGAACTAGGTTTTGACAGCGACTGGCTCATAGCTGACCAATCTTGTAGGAAGAACCTGATCAAAACGAATCCGTATGAGAATATGTATTAAATTTTGAGAAAAAGATTCTTTACTGGTACATACAGAACACTGAACCGATCTGGAGTTCACTTGGAGGTCATATATACAGAGGCCATGTCACACAGGGTTCTCTCCCTTACAGGTGCCCTTGGTCAAGGTCATACCACGCCAGGCGGAATTAGGAAGAAGAATGTGCCATAGGCAAAAAAAGGTAACACGTTCCAAAATGAAAACTGTTTTGAAAAGATGGCGACTCCCTCCAGGAACCGGTACAACTGAGACGCAGTGAGCTTTACATGGTATTCTTACTCCTGGGTCACTTGTTGCGAATGGGTATTTTGACAGGCCTCTGAGTTGTACCTTTGCAAAAGTAAGGAGCTTTCTTTGTCAGACTTGAACTGTCAGCTATACATATTTGGAGAGTTATGGAATGTGGCAGATATGTTAGCTCAGTCATGTTATTTTTTACTTTGTTCTTTTTGATATACATATGACCTACGGAGATTCTGGAGAACAGCTGATTTTGTGTCATCTAGCCCAGATGTCGAGGATCGTTTTGCCAATTTTTCAACCACTGGTTTGTCTTTCCCAGAGTAAATGCCAGGCCTCCTTGCTATAGCTTGGATATTGCTTGTTAAGGCCCAGAGTAAATGCCAGGCCTACTTGTTATAGCTTGGATATTGCTTGTTAAGGCCCAGAGTAAATTCCAGGCCTACTTGTTATAGCTTGGATATTGCTTGTTAAGGCCCAGAGTAAATTCCAGGCCTACTTGTTATAGCTTGGATATTGCTTGTTAAGGCCCAGAGTAAATTCCAGGCCTCCTTGCTATAGCTTGGATATTGCTTGTTAAGGCCCAGAGTAAATTCCAGGCCTCCTTGCTATAGCTTGGATATTGCTTGTTAAGGCCTTTAACTCAGTCGCAGACCAGGTGCTAATGTCATTGATCCGACAATTCCATGGGAACTACTTTTTCCTTTTCCTACTAAAATGCCTATACCGTGTAAATGGATTTCACTTACGTCGGTCGGTTCGAATCCCGGAATCCCCGATTATGTTTCTAGGTTTGTCAGCACCATACCCGTGCTTGTGGATTTCATCAAAGTGGTAAACGTCTGAGACCTGCATCACTTCTGGCTTTCCTCCCATAAAAACTTCATCTAAACAACTGTGATGTCGAGACGCTGTTGGAGCGTTGATGCCACGATCGACGATAGTGCTGCCCTCGGACATTTAACATTTCATGAGGTAATAATCTATAACATAACCATTACATGGATCTATTAATAGAACCGGTTTTCCCGCTCATAAGAAAATCTGACTCACAATCATACATAGGTCTGTTTACACTTGCAAGTTAGACAACAGGCAATAAACTCGTGTTACGGTGGTCACACGTAGCTTCTACTCACTGTTCCAGCAACATGGCCAGAGGAGGGCACCGGGATAAAGGTAGTTATACAATAATCAATGTGGTTGATTTCCGCAATTTCTAACACGTTTGTTGTTTGTATTTGCTCATCGTTATTCATGAACAGTATAGGCCTTTCAATCAACTGACACAGATAGCCAAGAGTTTCGTTTGTGATAACAGCTGTAATCTCTTAGTATAAATTGGAATTGAAGAATATGAAAAAAGTAATTTACACAAAACTATGCGTCAAAACGAAGGCTAACAACTGCCGATTTGGGGATATTACTTCCTGGAACACAAAAATACCCGCATTGATAACGTGGGTCGTGACATAGTGCAGCTGGAATAAGTCATACTGCTTTCTACTTTGTCCTTCCAGAACATTCATCTCCGTTCTCTCTCTCTCTCTCTCTCTCTCTCTCTCTCTCTCTCTCACACAGACACACACACACACACACACACACACACACGTGTCACCTCACCTCACTGCTTGAATATAGGGTTTCCAACAATGGCCTAGTCAGAAAGTGCTCCGTTTCCTGGAACGTTGCATATTCGTGGAACATGTCGTTAGGCTCGAAGTCAGTAGAATCAGCTGCCTGATATACGTCTCTTGTGGGAGGGAGAAACAGTGTTGACAGAGATATATAGCTAATTTGTGCATCACAATCTATAAGAATAAATACATAGTAAATTTATCCAATTGCGTTGTAGACTCTTGCTATATGTGCACACCCTTATACTTATAATTATCAACTAACGGTCAAGGCTTGGCGACAGTCTAGCGGGTTTTTATCAACAGTTTCTTATTCCCGAACCAAAGTTCAGTTGGCTAGCCTAGTGGCTGAAACGTTTGCTCGTCAAAGTAAATAATTCAGTTCGAGGGTTATTGTTTAGTCCAGGCTGGCTGAGTCTGGATATATACCAAGTACCTGTAATTGTTAAGAATAACGGTCAAGGCTTGGCGGCAGTCCAGCGGGGATTTTATCACAATTTCTCATTTCTTGAACCAAAGTGTGCTGGGTTAGCCGAGGGGATGAATCGTTTACTCGTCTAACTTAAAATTTTGGTACGATTTCTAGTTTTGTTTGATTAGCGTAATCATAATTAAGACAATAAATCGGGTGTGACTCTTTTCCAGTGTAATAAGAATACATTTATTTGTTTAAAAAAGGTAATTCTTTACCTGTTACTTTTTCACATGTCACATGAATATCTAACATATCTAACAGGGCTACACAAATATATATATATATATATGAACCTTTTGTAGCTCTGATTATGAAAACTTATACCAGTATATAGAATGCACTTTTGTAACGAAATTTTGGTTAGAATTTGAAGTGTACCTAAACTCGAAACTTGCAAATGATATTCATATTACCATTCTAGATATCTTTTCAACCATATAATTGTTCTTGCCAATATAATAGAAAAGTTTATCGCAACGAAAAATAGAAGATTAAAAAGTTTGACAGATCTACCTAATATTCTTCATCAGTCAATCCAAGATATATATTTTCACATATCTGATCAAGTTTAAAGATACCATGAATTGCTACACTTATATACCTCATATGTCAATGTTACATTTATGTCCACTGAATTGAAATATTTTATAAAAAAAAGAAGGTAACCACATCTTCACCCAACGTTGCCATATCATTCAGTTTCATTTACAATGTCTTTAATAGTTTTCTCCACTAACAGATGAAAACAAAAAAATAAAATATATGTACATGTATGTCTATAAAGGGTCAATCAGCATGCGAGTTACAAACTGGTCTTCTCCTTGCAGCCTATTTGCGAAAGTTGCTACGTAAAGCCGAAGAACACTGTGATGGAGACGACTATGACCAGGTGTCTGAGCTCTACCGAAACAAGCCATCCTCCTACTTCAAAAACATTCGTAGACACCACGGTAACATCATGGTACCGTATGTTAAGGACGATGGAGGGGATCCGCGCTGTCCAATAAACGGGAGACTTGATGGTCTCTTCTTCGGGGTGACGCTGTACGGGGGTGATCTTCCAGACATGTCGCCGTTCGGAAACACCAGAGTGATAGTACCACTTGATGAACTCTTTGATGATACAGCAAACCTGTACTTTGCTGATTTCTACTGCAAGCCTTCACGCAAACACATCCATTACGTGACCTTGGTACTTACAGATGCGGGATCACAAGCAGACCGTTTCTGTAGGGGACACCTCATCAAGCTCGATCCGTACAACAACAATTATTTGTGGAAAGATGAATTTTCTGACACATACATGACACTGGACCAATTTAAAGTGCAGGTGGAGGTCATGTATACAGAGAGTATTGACATGTCCCATCGACATCTCACCTCTATTCCCACCATTGGTCAAGGTCACAGCACGCCAGGAGGAATAAGCAAGTCTGAAAATTGTGACATATGCAATGTCTGGTGATGACGTTTTAATGGATTGGTGGTGGTCATACTTGAAAGTGATAGGACCGAAATATTTCCAACTATGGCAACTGAGCTGAGTGATCAGCATTCCTGGATATTGCTTTAACCCTTATGGTCGATACCCAAGACAAAACGACTCTGAAGTGCATAGATTTAAAAGTGCCATGAAAATCAACAGAGGGATACAAATTTGAAAAATGTCACCATTTTATTTATATTTTTTTAATTATATATTTAAACAAAGTCAGTGTGATAGTGCAACTGGAAGTGAGGTGAAGATAGAATCTATTTTTGGTCACTGTCGCAAAACAAAGACTTTCTCTGAAAGGACGAGCCGACCAATTTTATTTTGGCAATACATGACACTGATTTTTTCCAGAAATTAGGATTGATACAAATTGACACCATTTCGGAAAGCATCACAATCCTGTTATAAGGATGTTAAAAAGAATTACAATATGTCAGTATTATCCTTGGTTAAGGGTTTTGTCGATTTTTTTTACATTAAATGGATAATCAGCTTCCTTTTCTAATTTCATCGAATTTTGGGATTCACACGCTGGTGTATTATGATTATGCTTTATCTCGCCTGATATACTTTATTGCCTAATATGTATATATGGGTAAAGATACAATATGTGTATATTGATATTTATATCACATCATGTAAACGGAATAGGTTTGATGTATATATAGCTATATATGTATGTGTCTGTTTTCCAATTTTTATTACTTTCAGATTTTAGATATATATATCAAATAAGTATATTTGATGTTTGTAATATTTTTTAATTTAATTTGTAAATAAAATAAACAATGAAAATCTAATTTCTATTTTTCTTGTCGGGCAGGCTGATTCCAAGGAAAGGGTTTTAAGCTCTTTTTAGCACTATTCAAGCCATATTCTGCCTGGGATATTTAGGATGGACACATGTCCTCATTTTCGGGTTGTGTTGGGGGCCTCGCAATTCGTTGCGTCCCTTGGGCATGCCAGAAACTTTGTCTGCATCATACCCGAGCTTGTGGGTTTCACCAGAGTGGAAAATGCCGAGACCTGCATCACTTCGGGCTTTCCTCCCACATTAAGCTGAGACGCCGTAATATAACTGGAATACTGTTAAAGCGACGTTAAACCCAACTCACTCACTCACTCACTAGGGTTGAGGAGTCAATGGTTAACCATGAAGTTACCGAAGCATGTAGGTTATTTCTGCATCAAACATCACATGTCAATCTGAATATGATGGTTATTCAAATATGAATCAAACAAGTGAGCTAACTCTTACTTCATATTAATTCTGTTTTCTGTTTATCTAGATATAATAGGGCAGTTTATAAACTAGTAATAAATAATTAATAAATATGGGAAATTAGTGACGTTAGTTTTCTTAAACAATTAATATATAAAGACGCTTGACCACTTAATAAGACTGAATGACAAATATTTTCTTCATACTGCAACAGTAAACGATTATGAAAAATCATAGACTGCACATGAAATGCATAAACGGTCACCAACGTAAAAAACATGAAAGTAATTTATCAGATGTATCTGCCATCTCTAGTAGAAACAGTGGTTGATAGCATGAGCAGTGAATGTGCATACAATCAGCCACGCTCTGTAAGCACTCAATCCTCAAAAGGCTTTTTACAAAAAGCATGGATTACTGGGTCTGATCCTCACACTCAATGAAACAGGTGTAGAGGAATGAATCGATGCAATAGTTTAAACAAATACACTAGGGGGTCATGAACCGACTGTAAGTACGGTAACGATGACTTCTAATATTCCAGGAAAGTTATTTTACTCCATTCCTAGAATGCGAAATCGAAAGCGAAAGTAACATTTCTAGGATCCACGAAAATGTCAAGGTTGTTGACGAGCAGTTAACAGTTGGATACGGCAATACAGACATGTTTGCACACGAGTGTATTGGGATAATAATAGTGCCAACGTATACGAATAACAAACATTACTAGTCCAGTCACCGTATGAAGAAGGAACTAGAAAAGGAAGTAGGTTGAGACTGCGTAATGGCTGAAGGAGGAAGCATAAATGATGAGAAAGGTAGAGATACAAAACGTGTTTCTGTGTGTGGTGTGTGTGTGTGGCGTGTGAGTGTGTGTGTGTGGCGTGTGAATGTGTGTGTGTGTGTGTGTGTGTGTGTGTGTTGTGTGTGTCGCCGCACTCATCAATATTCTAGGTATATGACTGCAGCCCATTACTTATCGAATCTGATCATCCAGTGATTGATACTGCGAGCAACGACCCACGTCGTCAATGTATGCTGAAAGGTAGTTGCCGAGCCTGATCACCCGATCCATTTAGTCGTATCTTACTATACGTAGGCAATTGCTGAAAACCAATTCTAACCCGGAACATTCAGGGGTTATAATAGCTCGTACTTTATCCACCTGCACGAGGGTGACTCTGAGTTTCCCTCACACATTTTGAAATCATCTCTTGTCCTTGAGCTAAACACAGAGAATATTTTGAGATTTAAACAATAACCTTTCTACTACTGCTACTACTACTACTACTACTACTACTACTACTAATTTACCAGTTGCAATAGGAGGGTGTGGTTTGATTAACGTGGAGGCACTTCATGATAGAATTGTATCGTGCACTTGGCCACACATTTATTTGTCTGATGATCTTAACTTAATCCCCACCTACAGATTACACAGAAAGCAATGCACTTCAGTAGTACAATAGATTACAACTGTGCAACCTAATCTTACAAATTATTTCTAGTGCCAAAATAGTCAGGATGACATGATATGGAGATGAAGAAAATGGTTCCATGTACAGCGGAGTGTGAACATGATAAAGCATACTATAACCAAACAGTTAAATACAAATGAAAGGACAGACTGTAATAGACAATGGACATTTCTAAGACTATGGTGGATACAGCCACTATGTTTCTACTGAATGTAAAGTATGGGAACATCAAAAATATTATGGTTAGATGTTGGTTAGATGTTGTCAAACTGTCATCAAATACTTTCCTTTGTTAAATGTTGTCCAACTAAAATAAACATGCTTTGGTTGGTTTGACGTTGTCAAAGTGTCATAAACATTGCCCTCTTAGATCAGATGTTGTCCAACTGTAATACACATGCCTACTTTGGCTAAATGTTGGCAAACTGTTATTAACATGCCTTGTTTGGTTAGATGTTGTCCAGCTGTTATTAACATGCCTTGTTTGGTTAGATGTTGGCAAACTGTTATTAACATGCCTTGTTTGCTTAGATGTTGTCCAGCTGTTATTAACATGCCTTGTTTGCTAAGATGTTGTCCAGCTGTTATTAACATGCCTTGTTTGGTTAGATGTTGTCCAGCTGTCATTAACATGCCCTGCTTGGTTAGATGTTGTCCAGCTTCCATTAACATGCCTTGTTTGGTAAGATGCTCTCCAGTTGTTATTAACATGCCTTGCTTGGTTAGATGTTGTCCAGCTGTCATTAACATGCCTTGTTTGGTAAGATGTTGTCCAGCTGTCATTAACATGCCTTGTTTGGTTATATGTTGTCCAGCTGTTATTAACATGCCTTGCTTTGTTAGATGTTGTCCAACTGTCATTTACATGCCTTGCTTGGTTAGATGTTGTCCAGCTGTCATTAACATGCCTTGCTTGGTTAGATGTTGTCTAGCTGTTATTAACATGCCTTGTTTGGTAAGATGCTGTCCATTTATTAACATGCCTTGTTTGACTAGATGTTGTCCAGCTATCATCAACATGCCTTGTTTGGTTTGATGTTGGCAAACTTTTATTAACATGGCTTGCTTGCTTAGATGTTTGCAAACTGTTAATAACATGCCTTGCTTGGTTACATGTTGTCCAGCTGTTATTAACATGCCTTCTTTGATTAGATGTTGTCCAACTGTCATTAACATGCCTTGTTTGGTTAGATGTTGTCCAGCTGTCATTAACATGCCTTGCTTGGTTTGATGTTGTCCAGCTGTCATTAACATGCCCTGCTTGGTTAGATGTTGTCCAGCTGTCATTAACATGCCTTGTTTGGTAAGATGCTGTCCAGTTGTTTTTAACATGCCTTGCTTGGTTAGATGTTGTCCAGCTGTCATTAACATGCCTTGTTTGCTAAGATGTTGTCCAGCTGTCTTTTACATGCCTTGTTTGGTTAGATGTTGTCCAGCTGTTATTACCATGCCCTGCTTGGTTAGATGTTGTCCAGCTGTCATAAACATGCCTTGCTTGGTAAGATGTTGTCCAGCTGTTATTAACATGCCTTGCTTGGTTAGATGTTGTCCAGCTGTCATTAACATGCCTTACTTGGTTAGATGTTGTCTAGCTGTTATTAACATGCCTTGTTTGGTAAGATGCTGTCCAGTTATTAACATGCCTTGTTTGACTAGATGTTGTCCAGCTGTCATCAACATGCCTTGTTTGGTAAGATGTTGTCCAGCTGTCATTAACAAGCCTTACTTGGTTAGATGTTGTCTAGCTGTTATAAACATGCCTTGTTTGGTAAGATGCTGTCCAGTTATTAACATGCCTTGTTTGACTAGATGTTGTCCAGCTGTCATCAACATGCCTTGTTTGGTTTGATGTTGGCAAACTTTTATTAACATGGCTTGCTTGGTTACATGTTGTCCAGCTGTTATTAACATGCCTTCGTTGATTAGATGTTGTCCAACTGTCATTAACATGCCTTGTTTGGTTAGATGTTGTTCAGCTGTTATTAACATGCCTTGTTTGGTAAGATGCTGTCAAGCTGTCATTAACATGCCTTGCTTGGTTAGATGTTGTCCAGCTGTTATTAACATGCCTTGCTTGGTTAGATGTTGTCCAGCTGTCATTAACATGCCTTGCTTGGTTAGATGTTGTCCAGCTGTCATTAACATGCCTTGTTTGGTAAGATGTTGTCCAGCTGTTATTTACATGCCTTTGTTTGGTTAGATGTTGTCCAGCTGTTATTAACATGCCTTGCTTGGTTAGATGTTGTCCAGCTGTCATTAACATGTCTTGCTTGGTTAGATGTTGTCCAGCTGTTATTAACATGCCTTGTTTGGTAAGATGCTGTCCAGTTATTAACATGCCTTGTTTGACTAGATGTTGTCCAGCTGTCATCAACATGCCTTGTTTGGTTTGATGTTGGCAAATTGTTATTAACATGCCTTGTTTGCTAAGATGTTGTCCAGCTGTTATTAACATGCCTTGTTTGCTAAGATGTTGACCAGCTGGTATTAACATGCCTTGTTTGGTTAGATGTTGTCCAGCTGTTATTACCATGCCCTGCTTGGTTAGATGTTGTCCAGCTGTCATAAACATGCCTTGTTTGGTTAGATGTTGTCCAGCTGTCATTAACATGCCTTGTTTGGTAAGATGTTGTTCAGCTGTCATTAACATGCCTTGTTTGGTTAGATGTTGTCCAGCTGTTATTAACATGCCTTGCTTGGTAAGATGTTGTCCAGCTGTTATTACCATGCCCTGCTTGGTTAGATGTTGTCCAGCTGTCATAAACATGCCTTGTTTGGTTAGATGTTGTCCAGCTGTCATAAACATGCCTTGTTTGGTTAGATGTTGTCCAGCTGTCATTAACATGCCTTGTTTGGTAAGATGTTGTCCAGCTGTCATTAACATGCCTTGTTTGGTTAGATGTTGTCCAGCTGTCATTAACATGCCTTGCTTGGTAAGATGTTGTCCAGCTGTTATTAACATGCCTTGCTTGGTTAGATGTTGTCCAGCTGTCATTAACATGCCTTGCTTGGTTAGAAGTTGTCCAGCTGTCATTAACATGCCTTGCTTGGTAAGATGTTGCCTAGCTGTTATTAACATGCCTTGTTTGGTAAGATGCTGTCTAGTTATTAACATGCCTTGTTTGACTAGATGTTGTCCAGCTGTCATCAACATGCCTTGTTTGGTTTGATGTTGGCAAACTTTTATTAACATTGCTTGCTTGCTTAGATGTTTGCAAACTGTTATTAACATGCCTTGCTTGATTAGATGTTGTCCAACTGTCATTAACATGCCTTGTTTGGTTAGATGTTGTTCAGCTGTTATTAACATGCCTTGTTTGGTAAGATGCTGTCAAGCTGTCATTAACATGCCTTGCTTGGTTAGATGTTGTCCAGCTGTTTTTAACATGCCTTGCTTGGTTAGATGTTGTCCAGCTGTCATTAACATGCCTTGCTTGGTTAGATGTTGTCCAGCTGTCATGAACATTCCTTGTTTGGTAAGATGCTGTCTAGTTGTTATTAACATGGCTTGCTTGGTTACATGTTGTCCAGCTGTTATTAACATGCCTTCGTTGATTAGATGTTGTCCAACTGTCATTTACATGCCTTGCTTGGTTAGATGTTGTCCAGCTGTCATTAACATGCCTTGCTTGGTTAGATGTTGTCCAGCTGTCATGAACATTCCTTGTTTGGTAAGATGCTGTCTAGTTGTTATTAACATGCCTTGCTTGGTTAGATGTTGTCCAGCTGTCTTTTACATGCCTTGTTTGGTAAGATGTTGTCCAGCTGTCATTAACATGCCTTACTTGGTTAGATGTTGTCCAGCTGTTATTAACATGCCTTGCTTGGTAAGATGTTGTCCAGCTGTCATTAACATGCTTTGCTTGGTTAGATGTTGTCCAGCTGTCATTAACATTCCTTGCTTGGTTAGATGTTGTCCAGCTGTCATTAACATGCCTTACTTGGTTAGATGTTGTCCAGCTGTCATCAACATGCCTTGTTTGGTTTGATGTTGGCAAACTTTTATTAACATGGCTTGCTTGCTTAGATGTTTGCAAACTGTTATTAACATGCCTTGCTTGGTTACATGTTGTCCAGCTGTTATTAACATGCCTTCTTTGATTAGATTTTGTCCAACTGTCATTAGCATGCCTTGTTTGGTTAGATGTTGTTCAGCTGTTATTAACATGCCTTGTTTGGTAAGATGCTGTCAAGCTGTTATTAACATGCCTTGTTTGGTAAGATGCTGTCAAGCTGGTATTAACATGCCTTGTTTGGTAGGATGCTGTCCAGCTGTTATTAACATGCCTTGTTTTGTTAGATGTTGTCGAAGTGTTACCTTCTTTGGGAATAAGAGATGGGTACAAAGCACATTTCTGGGACGAACGACTACGTATCTTTTTCCGAACTAAAAATCCTTGAATTTTGTTTCATGATACTGTTGACGCAGTTAAGCACGGGAACTTTGGAAACTATTCTCCATTATCAGATATATTTTAGGGATGTCGACAAAATAAAGGGTGTAAAACAAACATCATAAACTTAAAGAAACAGAAAACCTAAGATTCCTCAAGACAAATTTAAATTTTGATATAATTTATTCGTTTGCCCTCACCAGTCTACAAGGGTTGACGCCGCACTCAGCAATATTCCAGCTATATGACGGCGGTCTGTAAATAATCGAGTCTGGACCAGACAATCCAGAGATTAATATCATGAGCATCGATCCACGCAATTGGGATACGATGACGTGCATCAACCAAGTCAGCGAGCCTGACCACCTGATCCCGTTAGTCGCCTCTTACGACAAGCATAGTCGCCTTTTATGGCAAGAATGGGCTGCTGAGGACCTATTCTACCCCGGGTCTTCACGGGTCAGTTTACAAGGGAAAAAGTTTTTAAAAAACATGTCTTGAAAGTTGTTATTCGTGTTTCACTTGGTATTCATAAATATCTAGGGGGATTCGACATATAATTAACCTTAGACTTTTTAGATTTTTATTCAAATATGACTTCCCTATGTTTAGTCTACAAAACGAATAAATTGTATATAATTTACTAAGCAAAATAAATTGACAGTTCAATGAACTGCTCATTTAAGAACGTAACATGCTGTCTTGTCTAATATCTATATGTTTACCCCTTTCGCCGTGCTATCACTGACTTCAGTGATCCATTCATCCATTCATCACTGTTGTGCCTATTTTGTCATCTCATACTACGTTTATAATTGTCAGTACTGCACCGGATGTAACCATGCTGCAGCTTGTGCATTTCCCATTGCAGAATATCTGAGAAAGCTGCTGCGTAAAGCTGAGGACCACTGCAGTGAAGGCAGTATTGATACTGTGTCTACCCTCTATCGCAACAAGCCGTCATCCTATTTCGATGACATTCGGCAGAACCACAATAACATCATGGAACCTTATCTGAAGGACAATGGCGGAGACCAACGCTGTCCAATAAATGGGAGACTGAAGGGTCTTTTCTTTAACGTGACACTTAGGAATGGACATCTGCCAGATATGTCGCCTTTTGGAGACACGAGAGTGAAAATGCCACTGAGCGAGGTTTTTGATGATTCAGCAAATCTGTATTTTGCTGACTTCTACTGCAAGCCCTCACGCAGGCGTGTTCACTACGTCACCTTGGTTCTGACACATTCAGGATCACAGGCAGACAGTTTCTGTCAGACACACCTGCTGAAGCTTGATTCGTACACCAACATTTATTTGCGAAAAAAACCATACTTATCTGGCACATACGAGACACTGGACCGTCCTGCAGTTCACGTGGAGGTCATGTATACAGAGGCCGTGAACATGACACACAGGGTTCTCTCCCTTACTAGTACCTTTGGTCAAGGTCACAGCACACGAGGTGGAATAAGGAAGACTGTGGGCTGCAGCATATGCAATGTTGGGGATACATCTTTGAATGAGATGCTTCGCAAGCTACTGGCAGCATTTAGTCGCGAGGGTTCCTTCTAGAAATACCAATCGGGTGTTTTGCTTCATGATCAGACAAGCGCATGAACGCCAGATCATACACCAAATTATCAGCGATAATAGCCTGTCATTAAATGTAAGACACAAAGCTGATCTCATTTTGGTTAAATGTAATGTTTAACGAACTCATCCATACAACAGGGATGTGAACTCTGGCTGGATGCAATGTTATTTCTAATTATGTCTTATTGACTCGGCAGCAGTTATTGATGCTCATGTCATGAAGAAATGTTTCTTATGCTTCTGTTAGGCTGCTGTGTTGTAATATACAATAACATACCAAATATGGTATGAAATACATAATAACATTCACCTAGTCAAAAGTGACGAGAAACACACAGCTGATATTTTGTGTAAATGGCAATGGCCACCTGTAAATTGTAATATTTGCTTGCGGCACCATGGTTGGCAGTCATACGGTTGTTGCACATGTTGCCAACAAATTGCTCTTGTCATCAGTGACCGACCATTTGATTTTCTAAGGGGGCCTGGAATTTGTTTCTTCTCTATAAATTCTTCCAGTCCTACCATAATTTTTCTCTCTCACTTTCGGGAAGGTGGGGTTACCCTTGTGTTTAAAGCGTTTACGCGTCTTGCTGAAGGCCCGGGTTCGAATCCCGCATGTGTAAAGCCTATTGGTAGTGTTCCCAGGCGTCTTATTGCTTGAATATTGCTAAAGGCGGTGTTAGACCATACACACTCGCGCACGCTCAATTCTATTTACTTTTACTCTTGACTAACTCCAGATTGTTACAAAATGCATCGTTTTTCAAAAGAATTGATAAAATAATGCTCCGTAGAAATATAATTAATTTTTCGCAACCTGTTGTATGTGTGCAGTGCTTGGACTTAACATAGTCATTTCTTGGAAGTCACAGTGAGAAGGGATTTCATGGAAATGAGGTGTCTGCAGGAAAAAGGATACCTCCTTTTTCCCAATCAGTATCAAGCATTCCACTACTTTCTACTCGTATTTCATATTGTGTGTGGTTTCTGTTTTTATATTTACATTGTGCTTATGTGCGCCGTGCATTTGAAATAAATTTTTACCCCTTACTTTCCTCTACGTTCTTTATCATATTACACATATGCTGGAACAAAATATATGTACAAATACATTACATTACATGCTATAGAAAGAATAAAGACACCGTGAATGCTCAAGCGGTGTTTACTGATGGAAATATTCAACTGTACTGATGGGCTGAAGAGAAGATACTGGCAAATCACTATGTCTATATCAGATATGGTTGGGTGTTGTTGTATTTAGATGATCTGGCGTATGAAATCCATTTTGTTGCATCGAAAAGACAAAACATCTTTAAAGATTTGTATGCTCTGTCCCGGACCTTATTGACAGTAAATGTACAGCTGAAGGAGGAAGCATAGATACTGCAAAAGGAAACAAAAGATGCCAGCATCTATTGACGTGCATCATAGTTATCTGTACATGAATTATTTTTCATTTTCAAATTGTAACAACACAGGCATCCCGGATCTGAATAGTACCCCAATACTTGATCCTTGGCGTTTCAGCTGACTAAGTGGAGTTGATGTGAGCATATGGCTCACCCTTTCGTCTTTCATGTGATTCGATTAATCTTGTAAATAGCCTATAAAATCGCATTTCCTTCTGGAGACCAAACATTGAACGCCCCAGTGAATGGAGACACTTGAATTAAGCAAATTGGAACTATGCTGATTACAACTGCAAGTCTGTACAAAATGTATTTTTCAGTTTAAGATTACGAACTCATAAAAGGTCCAATAAAATCCCGAGTTCTTGATGGATGCTATATTTTTGTCTAATTTGTTGAGCACTGGAAGAACAAATCGACAGCTACTTTATTAATTAGTCCAACTAATTTTTGGGAAATTCACATGGGTCCACAATTTGTTCTAAACAAAAGATGAATAATGCCTTTAACCAAAAGTTTCAATGCTCATAAGCATGTCCTCTTCGTTTCTGGGAATGCCAACTTCATTTAAAGAAAATTCAATCAACATTTTAATGGTAGGCACAATCATGCAAATTCATCTGATCAACCACTAGGTGTCTGGAGACCTTCCCCTAGCAATGGTTACATACTATAAAATGACCATTTAATCGAATATGGTCTCTGTGTATAAATAATCCAAACTGTATTTATAACTTTTGTAGATTCGCATTATCATGTGTATGTTTTTGTATTCATTCAGGTTAACTTGTAATGGTGACATGGGGTATTAAAAACCGATGTGGGCTTGTCCTGCTCCGTGCAGTGCATGGTGGAACACACATGCACAGACGTCGCTATATAATAGTATATCGCGACGTGTCATCTCACCTCACCTCACTGCCTTAATATGGTGTTACCAACAATAGCCCAATCAGGAACGCTCCACTTCCTGAAACGTTGCGTATACGTCGAACATGTCATGTGAGGCTCATGTGAGGCTCTTGTCAGTAGTATCAGCTACCTGATATACGTCTCTGGTGGGAAAGGAGAGACAGTGTTGATATGGATATACAGCTAATTTGGGCATCAGAATCTAAAAGAGATAGCTTGTACATTAGAATAAGAATACGAATATGTACATTGCAAATTTAAGTGAATGTTTAGCCCAGGTAGACAGAGGTTAGATATATATACCCCAGTAATTGTAGTTATCAAGACTGTCAAGGCCACACACACACACACACACACACACACACACACACACACACACACACACACACACACACACACACACACACACACACACACACACACACACTTGATGTATTGTAGTATTGTCTCAATTTATCGAAAAAAAGGAAGGTGCACTGATCTGACTATATGATGTAAAGGGGATAATGCATGTTCAGAGGGCTTCTCTAATCGGTGTTGTGTTGGTCTATGTTCACAAAAGCTTAACGTGTTAGTATTAAGGAAATATAAACAGTGAGTTTAGTTTAATGCCACTTTGCAAACGTCTCTCAGAGACATCCTTGCATGACGTTTATCACAGTTTGTTAGCGTAATATGGGAGGAGGCCAACGTTACACATGTCGAAGACGAACAATAACAATGAATAGGTTTTCATTATAGCTGTTGCGCCGGCCATATGGAAAATCGAATTTGAAACAAATTTGGTTCTCATCTTGGGTGGGAAGAAGTAAATGTCAGTGTCACTGTTCCACTGCTTCGAGTTGTTATGCAGTGTGTTGAGAAGATCAGCAACCATGCGGAGTCCTTCGCTTGGATAGAGACGGCTGGCCTCAAAAGTAAAACAGAAGGCTTTCTGTTTCCTGCTGAAGACCAGTCACTTCCACTCGAAACCGTCAACATATAATTTGGCATCAACATGTAAATATCAAATGTAGAATATGCAATGAATTCAATGAGACTGTCAACAACAATGTCAGTGGATGCCCAGCTTTGGCACAAACACAGTATCTTAAGCGACGTGATGGAGTGGCTCGATCATTTTATTACCGTCTTTGCCATGCTTGTGGCTTTGACACAGAGGTCTATCCATGGTACAACCCGGAATATATAGAGGGCGTCATGGAAAATGATAAATACAAAATTCTTTGGAATAGGTCCGTACACAGCCTCAGACGTATCCAGGTCAAAAAACCTGATCTTGTCCTATTTGATAATTTTTTGTCCCTTTTGACACTAATGTCATTAACAAGATTCAGGAAAAACATGGCAAATATGCAGACCTCGCTTTCGAAATATCACGCTTGCATCCCAAGTGCCAAGTTGTCAGACTCCCCATTGTTCTCTGTGCCTTAGGTTTGGTACCTCCCAATCTGTTGACTGACATTGGGAGAGTGCCCTGGTTTGCTACCAGGAATACAGCTCTTCTGACAACCTGGGTAATGCAGAAGGCTGCAGTGTTGGGGAGTCTTCACATTCTCCGAAAAGTTTTGGGTGGGTTCGACTAGGCAGCGCTTGCTAGGAGAAGTCCCATTCGCTATCTGGGCAACGTGTAGACGGGCAAGGGCCCTGAGCTGATGTTGAGCCTAACCAGCCCGGACGTGCCAGGATCACCAAACACCTCTTTGCTGCATTTCTTATTCTTATATGTAAATAGTAAATATAATACTAATATTTTGAGCATTGTGTCTATTTGATATATGTGTTATCAAAGATTTAACAATTGCACCTATTCAATACCGAATCATGTCTGAATCAAGAACATGCGTCGTAGTACAAGGTATTAGAGACTTGATATGTTCGATTACGACTTCGAGACAAATGAAGGAGTCGATAAGTGCTTTTTAGGTCATGAACACATTTTGTCAGGTCATCCAGGGAACCAGACATTCGCTTCGGGAACATGGGATATGATTCAGCCACGCTCCCGTGAATATGTAGCTTTGGCTAGAACCACGTAAACGTAAGCAGCCATTATATATGGTGTCAAAAGCATCTTTTGTATAGAAAGAAGTCGGATAAGAAAACCGATCGGAGAGATAGGTGATACCTTACACAAAACGGATAAAACAGTAAAGCAGCGTTTGGTTCAGATCAATCACTTAATGAGTAAGTTAGTGAAAATATGAGTGAAAATATGCGACTTTTTGTTACCTCTGGTTTGACTTGTGCACATCATGCATGCAACGGTTTCTACGTCAATAACCGACTCCTAGCATACCATAATATACTTCTTGCATACCACTAAGTAGTCTTGATCCTACCTCGGATACTTCCTGCATGGGAATCATACACTATCTAGCATTACACTGGTTACAACCTAAAATGCCTTTCTTATACCTCACAGAAAATAGAAGTGAAAATGAAAGTAGAAATTCAAGGAACCTTGTCATTGTATACGCTCGAGCATTATGTCAGTTATCTCAATACAAAGAATCCGACCTATTGCACAACAGTACTCTGTTTCTAATAATAGAGCCAACATATGCACAGAACGGGAATCGGCAACCATATTGCAATCATGGCTGTGGGAGGAAGCACCGATGCAGGAAAAGGTATGGATATACTTATGTCCAAGATGACTATTACAGTATTTTCATAGCATTTTGTGTGCTAAAGGAATCGCTCAAACTACCTCGTCTGACATATTTTGTATTTCTGTTGTATAATGCGGCGGACAGATATGCAGTCGGTATTGAATGGGATATAATTTCTCATCTGTGAGAGTCACAATAATTTGAAATACTTTACGTCGATGTTAACATGGCTTCCATGATATCTATACTAAAACATAATTTACATATTCATTTTACAGAATATCTTCAGAAGCTGTTAGATAAAGCTAATGATCACAGCCAGAGTGGCACATCTGAAGATGTATATTACCTGTACCGGAATAAACCCAACAGCTACTTTCAGGATATCAACAATAACTACAATGGCATCATGAAAAAGAGACTCAAAGACAGTGGAGGTGATCCACGCTGTCCAATCAATAGCAGACTTGGCGGCCTCTTTTTTGGGGTTACACTACACGGAGGTGTTATACCAGATAAATCGCCATTTGGAAACACAAGAGTTAAAGTTCCGCTGAGTGAGGTGTTTCATGGCACATCAAATTTGTACTTTGCCGATTTCTTTTGCAAACCTTCACGCAACCGAATACATTATGTTACCTTGGTTCTGACAAAGGCTGATTCAGAAGCAGATATGTTCTGTAGAGAGAACCTGATCAAACTCAATGTCATGAACAACTTGTACTTGCGAAAGCAAAGCCTGGGGTATTCAACACTGAAACGATCCAAAGTGTTTGTTGATGTGTTCTATACAGAAGATATAGACATATCAAACAGGATCCTCAGTTCTACAGGGATATATGGACGAGGGCAAAGTGTTGGGGGAATACCAAAAGCTGGTGGGTGTGGGATTTGCAATGTCGGAGTCCAACCCAGCAGAAGATATGTACATCACGTGGAATATGACGATCTTTTTGACTATGACGATCGTTTTGACGATGACGTTCGTTTTGACGATGACGATCTTTTTGGATACACAAACAATCCTTTTGAGGACTATTATGATGATATGGGTATTGGCTATGATTTTGATGATTACTATTGATACCTCGATTGATGGGACTATATTAAATAATCTTGAGCAGATTCAATGACAGATCGCCCGAGTAGGTGCTTGTATTAGTATAATGTGTATATACTATGACATGTCTTTAGAGTAATGTGTCACACTGTATATATATTTTTTTTCGTACTGACAATATTATTTTATTTCACTATCAGATGAGATACACATGTAGAGTTGCTTTTTAGCTCATGGATTTGATTATAAATGTGTGGCAACATTAGTCTAAAAAGGTACTGTGTTTAATGCATGTTGGTGTGGATTTCTGAAATCTGGGATTGTAATCATTTCAAGATACTGTTTTACCTACAACGAATGAAACCAGACAAATTGATTCATGTGAAAAAAATAACGTAGGAACCATTTTGCATTTTATAATTAATTAATCATGAAACATCTATATAATCATCAAGTCACTGTCTTCTTTTTACCAACAAATATGAGGCAGAAAATGACATCCAATATCCACTTTGTCACACAAACCCATTACAAATACTAAACTGTGATAGAAATATCTAAATAGCTAGAAAATATGTGTGTGTGTGTGTGTGTGTGTGTGTGTGTGTGTGTGTGTGTGTGTGTGTGTGTGTGTGTGTGTGTGTGTGTAATGTTTTATTGACCTCGATATTGGGATTTTACGAGCTGAACGCTCATGAAGACTCAAGATGGTGTTTGGGGTGTGCTGGAACAGTTGGCTCATGAATTGCAGTGTAAGTGTAAATGTTGTATCACTGCAATGAATAACATCTCTCAATGTTTGAGTGTCTGGTTTTTACCAATATTCCATTCTTGTCTTTTATTTAGTTTTTGTGTGCCTTAAGTATTAACCATGTAAAATATTGTTATTTCCATATACATGTATACATAATTAATTGTTTGCTTCAAAGTGTACTTCTGACATTGTCATTGTTAACCTTATTATTCGATTCTGATGTTTGAAGCTCACATTGCACGTTCTCATTGTTGCGTCTCACCAAAATATTGAATAAAACGATTTGGTTTGATTTGTTTTGATTCATCAATACAGCATCAATGTCACAGATAAAGGGAGCCAGTCTCTCATGTTAACAAATTGCTTCACATATATGTCATGTATGTTATGACATAATTATTTGCTGTCATTCGTTTTGATCGTTATGATCGTTTTAATCGTTTTAATTATTGAATAAATGGTGATCTATGTTGATTTGATTTGATTCATCAATACATCATCAATGTCACAGATAAAGAGAGCCAGTCTCTCACGTTAACTATATGCTTCATTTAAATGTCATGTATGTTATGACATAATTATTTGCTACCACAACAACTATCCAAATCAAAAGCAAACTTTGTTATGGACTCTATGTCAGCGTTTCTCCAGTCACTTGAATGATAGAGCTGAAACGTACTTGTTTATACTCATTGACAAATACTTGTATGTTACTTTCGAGAACATGATATATAATGTGTAATGCAGTGAAGTTTTCTTCTGATAAATGCCACGTATCAAGGTAACTCTACCCGCCTCGTATCAAGGTAACTCTACCCGCCACGTATCAAGGTCACTCTACCCGCCACGTATCAAGGTCACTCTACCCGCCACGTATCAAGGTAACTCTACCCGCCACGTATCAAGGTAACTCTACCCGCCACGTATCAAGGTAACTCTACCCGCCTCGTATCAAGGTAACTCTACCCGCCACGTATCAAGGTAACTCTACCCGCCACGTATCAAGGTAACTCTACCCGCCACGTATCAAGGTAACTCTACCCGCCACGTATCAAGGTAACTCTACCCGCCACGTATCAAGGTAACTCTACCCGCCACGTATCAAGGTAACTCTACCCGCCACTTATCAAGGTAACTCTACCCGCCACGTATCAAGGTAACTCTACCCGCCACGTATCAAGGTAACTCTACCCGCCACGTATCAAGGTAACTCTACCCGCCACATATCAAGGTAACTCTACCCGCCACGTTTCAAGGTAACTCTACCCGCCACGTATCAAGGTAACTCTACCCGCCACTTATCAAGGTAACTCTACCCGCCACGTATCAAGGTAACTCTACCCGCCACGTATCAAGGTAACTCTACCCGCCACGTATCAAGGTAACTCTACCCGCCACGTATCAAGGTAACTCTATCCGCCACGTATCAAGGTAACTCTACCCCCTATGTCAAGTATATTTCTTCAGTAACAGATATGAACGTTTTTACACAGGCACTTCACCTCCGTGATAAGTGTATAACCAAACCCACAAAGGGGGTGTTTTGAAGATTTCACACTCTTTTGTAAAACCAAATGAAAACAGTAAGTTTATGACAAAAGACCATGTCTTTTGTGTATCTGTCAATTGTTTTGTATAGGAGTTGCAAAGTTTAATGCTTTTTGTTGTGTACCTGAGTTTTATTTTATCATTGGGTTAATTAACTTTCCAAAGAGATACATACCTGCTGGAGTTAAAATGGTATTGTTCTGGGTACACACACGGTAAGATGTTTCATATCCATTTACGATCTTTATTGATTATGGGCCGTGTGGTAGCCTGGTGATTTATCCATAACGCCGAGTGACCCCACACGTGTTAAACGTGAAAATCCTAATTCCGATGTCTCCACATGGTATTGCCGGAATTATTGCGAAGGATGTGTAAAGTCAAAGTCACTCACTCACTTATCTTGTGGTGATCTGGGATTCGAACACAATTACACTCATACGAACACTTCAGTGAAGAAAACTTATACCTAAGCAAGACATGTAAGTGTGTTTTTTAGTTCATAAACGTTGGAATTGAATGACGTTTGGTTTCTTAAACAGTTGACACACATAGATTTTCGGCCAATTCATAAGTGAGTGAGTGAGTATGGTTTTACGCCGCTTTTAGCAATATTCCAGCAATATCACGGCGGGGGACACCAGAAATGGGCTTCACACATTGTACCCATGTCAGGAATCGAACCAGGGTCTTCGGCGTGACGAGCGAACGCTTTAACCACTAGGCTACCCGACCGCCCCCCAATTCATGAGTGAAATATCAAGATTTTCTTCATACTGCATAAGGAAACGTCTATGATAAGTCATTAACTGCACATCGACTGCATAAACGGGAAGCAACGTAAAACACACGCAGGTGATTGATCAGATGTACCGAACTTCTTTAGTGGAAACAGTGGGGGACAGTATGAGCAACGATCCTAGCCTTAGGTACATACAATGAGCCAAGCCCTGTAGGCACTCAGTCCTCATACGTCGGCTCTAACGACAAGCATGGCGTACTGGGGGCGTAGTTATGATAGATGTAATGGTCTATAAAATCACAAGGGGGCTGTATCTTAACTTTGAATGAAAATCGGGTCTTCATGACCTCTAATTATCATGAAGGTTCTCTTACTACATACTTAGAATGCGAAATCGAAAGGGAAAGTAACAGTTCTAGGATCAGCATTGATGTAGGGGACAAAGGGATCTTGTTTACACATAAGCGTATCCAGGTATATATCGATCCAACATGACTACTCAATTCACTTTGTGAAGAAGAGCTTGGAAAAGCAGTAGCACAACAACTATCCTATCCGTCATGGCTGAAGGAGGGAGTATAGATGTCGAGAAAGGTAAAGGTGTTAGTGTGTGTGTTAATGTGTGTGTGTGTTAATGTGTGTGTGTGTGTATGTGTTAATGTGTGTGTGTGCTAATGTGTGTGTGTGTGTTAATGTGTGTGTGTGTTAATGTGTGTGTGTGTGTGTGTGTGTGTGTGTGTGTGTGTGTGTGTGTGTGTGTGTGTGTGTGTGTGTGTGTGTGTGTGTGTGTGTGTGTGTGTGTGTGTGTGTATAATCAATATAATTAACTGATAGCTACAAAACTCAAGGTCACAATTCTTTACTCAAAAAGCAAAGATTTCATTTGTAGATATTTTTAAAACATTTTAAACAACACAAATTCATTAAATATAATTTACAATACAAATATAATGATGCTTGAACGGATTGCTTTTCAAAGAATGTTACACACTTCTTATGCTTTATCTTCCTGCTTCGCGAACACCTGGAGTCACAAATCAACTGACACATGCATATCATTGTCATCCCTATTTTGCCTTTTACGCCCTATGGAGTGAGTGAGTTGGGTTTAACGCCGCTTTTAACAGTATTCCAGTTATATCACGGCGTGTCAGCTTTATGTGGTAGGAAAGCCCGAAGTGATGCAGGTCTCAGACGTTTACCACTTCGGTGAAACCCACGAGCACGGGTATGGTGCCGACAAACCTAGAAACATCATTGGGATGGCCCTTTGGAATCGAGACTGATTATTCTATGGCGTTGACGTTTTGATATTACAAACGTCATCTCATCTTAAGTTTCTAATTTTCAGTACTGCACCGGATGTTATCATGGTGTTCATTTTAAATTTCCTGTTTCAGAATATCTAAAAAAGCTGCTCCGCAAAGCCGAGGACCACTGCAGTAAAGGCAGCTTTGATAATGTATCTATCCTCTTTCGCAACAAGCCGTCATCCTATTTCGATGACATTCGGCAGAACCACAATAACATCATGGAACCTTATCTGAAGGACAATGGCGGAGACCAACGCTGTCCAATAAATGGGAGACTGAAGGGTCTTTTCTTTAACGTGACGCTTAAGAATGGCAGTCTGCCAAATATGTCGCCTTTTGGAGACACGAGAGTGAAAGTGCAACTGAGTGAGGTTTTTGATGATTCAGCAAAACTTTACTTTGCTGACTTCTACTGCAAGCCACCACGCAGGTCCCCACGCAGAATCACGCGCACGCGTGCTCACTACGTGACCTTGGTCCTGACACGTTCAGGATCAGAGGCAGACAGTTTCTGTAATATGCACCTGCTCAAGCTTGATTCGTGCTCCAACAAGTTTTTGATAAAGACATTCTCAACATACAGAACAAAGGACTGTCCTCGTGTCCACGTGGAGGTTATGTATACAGAGGCCGTGAACATGACAGACAGGGATCTCTCAAAAACTGGTACCTTTGGTCGAGGTCACAGCACACAAGGTGGGATAGGGAAGACTGTGGGCTGCAGCATGTGCAATGTTGAGGATATATCTTAGAATGAGTGTTTTGCTTCATAATCAGACAAGCTAGGGATACATCTTTGGATGATTTCCTTCGGAAGCTATCGGCAGCAATTAATCGCGAGGGTTCTTTCTAGAAATGTCCATCGGGTGTATTGCTTCATAATCAGACAAGCGCATAAACGCCATACTGGTACCTTTGGTCGAGTTCACAGCATACAAGGTGGGATAAAAAAACCTGTTGACTGCAGCATATGTGATGCAGGGGAATAGGGTATTTGGATGAGATCCGAAAGTCAACTTTCCCTTATGTCGAGCAGCTCCAGACCTGGTGTTTTCACAACTTTTGAGCTACAATCGAGCTTGCTTTTCTACCAAGATTACAAACAGCGTCATATGAATATGTCCTAGAAGTTGTTTGATCAAGGTTACAACATTCAATGCCTCAGTAAAGCTTTCAAAACGAAATGTGGAGGATATTTCAAAATTTGACGCATCAGTGAACAAAATGATAATCGATGAATTTTCACTATTTATATCATATGTTCCTGTATCATTCAGGCAAACAATTGACTTGCCTTTGCATGTGTTTGTGACGAGTGCCACCGGTGGGGCAGAAAACGGTTATCTATTTGTAAACACCTGGTATCATCATTATTAGATAGTGATTCATAAACACATGCTTATCGGACTCTGCTTTTGGCCGAGATTTCTTATGATTATGGAAAGAATTTATCGCGTTTATTCAAAATTGTCACTGAAATCTTCACTCCTGAATTGAAAAGCTGACATTTGGAGCTTTGTGTCGATAATCAACTGCATTCTCTAAGACAATATGTTCAAACATTTTGATTACATAAATGTATGCCTAGACAAAGTGTACATGTCAACAGTACATGAATTGCCCTGTAAGTGTGAGTGAGTGACTGAGTATGTTTTACGCCGCTTTTTAGCAATATTCCAGCAAAATCATCTTTTTGCATTTTACAAACAATATGGGAAAAAGTATTAAACATGCAGTATTAGACATGTAAAACATAAGTACCATGTATATACATTTATTTTAATATATAATAATTCGCTTTGAGTTGTACGTCTAGAATTGTACGTCATTAACTTTCACATTCGATTCGTGTTGATTGTGTAGTGCACACAGCACATTCTTATTCGTGTTGATTTTGTAGTGCACACAGCACATTCTTATTCTTGCATCTCACCAGAATATTGAATAAAACGATTTGATGTGATTTGATTCATCAATACACCATTAATCTCACAGATAAAGAGATCCAGTATCTCATGTTGAACATATGCTTCTCTGATATGGTATTATGTATTGAGACCCGTGAAGATCCGGGGTAGAATAGGTCTTCAGCAACCCATGCTTGCCGTAAACGGCGACTATGCTTGTCGTAAAAGGCGACTAACGGAATCGGGTGGTCAGGCTCGCTGACTTCGTTGATGCATGTCATCGATCCCAATTGCGTGGATCGATGCTCATGATATCAATCTCTGGATTGTCTGGTCCAGACTCGATTATTTACAGACCGCCGTCATATAGCTGGAATATTGCTGAGTGCGTCGTTAAACAACAAACCAACCAACCAACCAAATTATTTATTGTTTTTGATCAGATATGATTAAACAAAGGTTGATTACCAGCCAAAGTAAATCTAGGTAGGGAAAGTTAATCCCCACTGAGCGATACTTCGTGTTGTTGTTCCGCTGGTAGTGAGGCACCAGGCGGGAATCTGAGTACAGAACTTTAACTGAGAAAACTTTGACAGCTTATAGTTTTGTGTCATTGCTCATTCTCCAGGTCGTAATATGGCTGGAACACAGTCGTTGTGTAACAAATCATGAAACCATGTACACATGAGTGTTTCACGATACAAAGGTATTCCTCCTGCCAATTTCTGTAACACTATGAGTGATTTCACAACTGATATTTTAATATCTTTGATCATTCCTCATTGTGACTGGAACACAGCCGATGCGACGTGAAATTGAAACTCTCCCACCAACTTATTTCTCGGTATACAATGCTACAGGACATGTTCATCTCCCTGACCGATATACTCTACATATGTCTCTGTGGTTATTCGACCGCCTACGTGGCCTAGTGGTAGAGCGTCCGCCCGCTCGATCCCCGGCCGCGTCATACCAAAAGACGTTAAAACATGGTACTTGTTGTTACCCTGTCTGGCGCTCGGCATTAAGGGGCTAAAACAAGGACTGGTCGGCTCGGAGTAAGTATACTGTTAAACTGCGGCATGGTTTCTCAGTGGGCTAGCACTATAAATCGGCATCAGTCCGGACTAGTACAAGCAGCCACATACACACACACAGACACACACCTGCATGCACGTCGCTATATAAGTGCAATAATCTTGGACGCGACGTTAAACCCAATTTCACCTCACCTCACTTGTGGTTATTCGTTCTGGTCCACTGGTCCATTAGGGGGCACGGGTGGCCCAGTCGTCTAAGGCGCCGCGATTCGCTGTGCAGAGTTGCGTCCCTTGGGCACACCAGAAACCTATGATTGTGGGTTCGAATCCCGGTTCGCCCCGATTATGTTTCTAGGTTTGTCAGCACCATACCCGTGCTCGTGGGTTTCACCGAAGTTGCAAACGTCTGAGACCTGCATCACTTCGGGCTTTCCTCCCACATTAAGCTGACACGCCGCGATATAACTGGAATACTGTTAAAAGCGGCGTTAAACCCAACTCACTCACTCACTCTGGTCCATTACATCCATAGCGGTTCATTAGCACTGCAAAACAGACGGGGATGGTACACTTACGGCGATATCTTGTTCAATATTTGTTTAAAGGCGCCAGAACAGGTCTATTAATATATCCTTGTTGGCAGTGTAAAAGGCAGAGCCGCAATTGCTTACACGTTACGTTATTCACGCTTCGCGTACCGTGAAACAAACTATGCACTCTTTCTGTATGTACAAACACCGTGTACTCCAGTTTATTTATTCGCATTTATTCAATTCTAATGTAATGTAGGATAGGTCGGCCTAACCCGATAGGTCCAGGAAGAACCTACAAGTACGAGGCGACTACATGGATCGCTTGGTCAGGCTGTATAGAGATGCTGGTAGCAGCTGTAACACGCTTAGTAATAGCAGCAGACGGGTAACAATAGTTTCTAAATGTTAACAAACAACGAATGACTTTAAACGTATTGGTATCTATTCATCGGACATGAAGTAATATGTCGCTGTGTTTTATTAACACTTGGCAGTTTATTGCCTGTATTATACATGAACCTCAATCAAAGAGGTTTTACCACAGCTACCCAAATCAACAGCATACTACAGCATGCCCTCTTTGTTGGCGGATTACCGGTGAAGTCGCTTGACAACAACAGCTAAAACTTCCTTGTATATACGTACTTCTATGTTGTTGTCAAGTATATTTCTTCCACAAGCACTTCACGTCTGGGATAGGTGTACACTCAGGAGGTGTGTTTGTTGTTTGTTGTTTAACGTCGCACTCAGCAATATATCAGCTATGTAAGTCGGTTTGTAAATAATCGAGTCTGGACCAGAATATCCAGTGATTGATATCATGAGCATCGGTCCACGCAATTGGGATACGATGACAGGCATCAACCAAGTCAGCGAGCCTGACCACCCGACCCCGTTAGTCGCCTCTTACGACAAGTCGCCTTTATGGCAAGAATGGGTTGCTGAGGACCTATTCTACCCCGGGTCTTCACGAGTCAGACTACAAGGAAAAAAGTTTGTTAAAAACATGTCTTGAACGTTGTTATTCATGTTTCACTTGGTATTCATAAATATCTAGGGGGATTCGACATATAATTAACCTTAGACTTACAGGCCACAAAACGTAAGAAATGGAGCCTGGCCACCCGACTCTGTTAGTCGCCTCTTACAACAAGCATAGTCACCTTTTATGGCAAGCACGGGTTGCTGAAGACCTATTCTACCCCGGACCTTCAGGGGTTATACTCAGAAGGAACTCTTTTATGAAAACAAGTGAAAAATGTAAGTTTATGACCATAAACTGACCATATCTTCTTGTGTATCTGCCAAATATTACGCGTAGGAGTCGCAAAGTGTTATGTTTTTTGATCGGTTCAATTTATCTTCCAAAGAGATATGTCCCTGTTTGGGGTAAGATGTTACTAATAAAGGTGTTTACAATGCATTTATGGGTGTTTTTTTATCGATGAAGTGCGATTGGGTAGCCTGGTGGTATATTCTTCACGCCATGGGACCTGTTTTCGATATGTGAATAGCCCACGTAGAATGTTTCTGAAAGCAGTGTAAAGCCAAGACACTCACTCACTTGTCTTGTGTTAATGTGGGATAATCTGGGATTCGAACACACTTAACTCACAAGAACAGTTGAGTGATGGGCATGTATACCAACATGTGTGGAGAGTAAGGCACTTTATGTGTCTTAGTTGATAAACGTTGGAATTGAGTGACGTTAGGTTTCTCAAACAATTGATGCACATGGAATTTTGGCTGACTCATAACACTGAATGGTCAAGATTTTCTTCACTCTGCAACTGAAAACGTTTATGAAAAATCACAAACTGCACATGAATTGCATAAAACATGGTCCATTAGACTTACACAGCGGAGTACATGCACGTGAGTGTGGAGGTGTGTGTGTGTGTGTGTGTGTGTGTGTGTGTGTGTGTGTGTGTGTGTGGCTGCTTGTACTGGTCCGGACTAATGAGGATCTCATAGTGCTATCCCACTGACATGAACTTAATGAAGACCCCACTCATACACAGTATACTGACTCCGAGCCGAATAATACTTGGTTTAACCACTTGATTCCGAGTGCCAGTCTGGGTACCAAACAGTACGATCTTTTAACGTCCTTTGGTAGACCCTCGACCTCGCTCTCTCCGGGCACACGCTTTATCACCTGGACCACAGAGAAGTCGAATGAACAAGGCGTAGTTGGAATAGATACAAATAAATACAAAGGGGGCTATATCCTGACTTTAAAAGATTTTGGTCGGGTCTTCATAACCTCTAAATTTCCTGGAAGGTTCTCTTAATCTATACTCAGAACGCGAAATCGAAAGGGAAAGTAACAGTTCAAGGATCAACACTCATGTATGACATGGGCTAATGCAATCATGTTTGCACACGGGTGTATTGAGCTATTTATTGTGCCAACGTATACACACAACAAACATACCTACCCCAGTCATCCCTTGAAGAAGAGGTGGAAAAAGAAACAGCTACATAAATCATCATGGCTGCAGGATGGAGCATGACCGACGACAGAGGTAAACGTGTGCGTGTGTGTGTGCGCGCGTGCGTGCGTGTGTGCGTGTGTGTGTTGTTGTTTACGCCGCACACTTCCATATTGTACCCAAATGACGTTAGTCCGTTAAGGATCGAATCTGGACATGTCAAACCAGAGATTGATGCTACTAGCAAAGATCAACGCCGTCAGTGTACGCTGAAACGCTATCAAGCGTTGTTGTGGACACATTCTAACCCGGAATCCAAAGTTGGGTCAATGGATTAAATATAAATTGACTAACACTCGTAATAAGTCATTGTGCACATGTCTGAGGGTGACACAGAGTTTGTCTCACACATTTATATATATATATACAACTATGCAACCTAATCTTTAAAGTTTGGTTTCGTGGTAAGATGGTCAGTGACACCCGCTTTAGAGATGAACAATATAGTTCAGCGTACAGAGGAGTATGAACATAAGTTATACCGTAACCAAACAAATATATACACAGGTAAGGACATACTGATAGCGGAGATAACATATAGGCAATGGCTCCGTTGTCTACAACTGACTTAATTGTTAGGTGAACACAACTTTGAAATGACGGAACTTATTTTCTCCCCTTCAACACGCTTTAATGACAGAACAATTTCACAAAACCGTGTGTTGCCAGCGGGATTCGAAGTCCCCACCGAAGGCTAACTAATATAGTCCTCTGGTACGGCGACATGGAAGAAATCATGTGAAATTAACAATGACATATTTACTCAAATCTGGACGAAGAGTTTATCCGTTTATAAACTGGTATATTTTTCAGAGTTTTATTATGTACATTAAACGTGCATGTGATTTGGTAGCTTTTCTTTAAAATTACTCTTTTCTTCATCTGGTCTATGATTGCTCATAATAGTCCCGTAAACATGGGCACATGATATACATGTAATTGTTTAATGTGCTCGGGTTGGTTCAAAATGAATCGTATACTTGCCCCGGGACGTGCATTTTAGTATCGCGACGCTATTTTAGTGCAAAAATCATGGGCGCGACGTTAAACCCCATTTCACATCACCTCACATGCACTTCAAAACCCAGCCGCAAAATAAAGGGATGCACGTGTCAAGGCACAGGGAACATATACATCAGCACGTGCATCACTCAGGGGGCACTCACACAGTGTGTTCACAGTTAAGCACAGAGTTTTTGAATATCTTGAATACAAAAATAAATGTTGTTTGAACATGCTAAGGTTCTTTGAATGTTCCTACCTCCATGGTTTAAGGAGGTAGGAGCACTCGGACTTTGTTGTCTAATCGTTGACACGGTTAGATAAGGGTTCCCGACGTTCAGGACCTCGAACTCCAACTAACCCTTTCAGCTACACCAGGTTCTCAAACATTATGGTTAGATGTTGTCCAATGTTGTACTGTAATAAACATGCCTTCCTTGGAAACTCGACATAGATCTAATGCACTTTAGCTGGCATAACGTATCTCTATCCAAACTAAAACATCCCTGAAGTTATTTTTCTGATCCTTTGGTCGTAGTGGTGAAGCATTGTAAACTTGGAAACTATTCTCCAATTTTTTTATTTACTTACCTGCATACTTCCGTAAACTAAAATAATTACTTTGTTTTAAGATGTTTACATTATCCACTGGTTTGAGTCAATAAAACACATTCATTGAATATAATTCATTTAGCAAATATATTGACAGTTTAACGGACTGCTAATCAAAGAACGTAACACGCTTTTCAAGCTATTTCCACATGTTTACCCTCTACGCGAACACCTGGTGTCATCACTGATTTTCAGTTATCTATTGATATAATGATTTTCTTCACTATTTTCCCATTTACGCCCGATGGAATCTGCTTTGGTGGATAATCGAGACTGGTTATTCTCTGGTGTTTTATATTTCCGAAAGAAAGCTATGACGGCTACAATGGTGCGAGTAGGTGCGTATGGTTTTATCCCGCTGTTAGCAATATTCCAGCAATATCACGGCGGAGGACACCAGAAACGGGACCCATGTCGGGAATCTACCCGGGTCTTGGACAGGGCGAGCGAACACTTTAACCACTAGGCTACCCGGCAGCCCGGCTACGATGGATGGGTCCAGTGTGTGTATATGATACAATGGATAATCTGTTTCGGCAGATTCTCTGCCGTTTACCGTTTGAATTTACAGCCACCAATGTCATCTCATCTTACGTTTCTAATAATTAGACCCGTGAAGATCCAGGGTAGAAAAGGTATTGCTTGCCGTAAAAGGCGACTATGCTTGTCTTAAGAGGCGACTAACGGGTCAGGCTCGCTGATTTGGTTGATGCATGTCATCGTATCCAAATTGCGTGGATCGATGTTCATGATGTTAATCACTTGATTGTCTGGTCTGGTCTGGACTCGATTATTTTCAGACCGCCTTCATATAGCTGGAATATTGCTGAGTGTGGCGTTAAACAACAAACAAACAAAACAAATAAATTCTAATTATTAGCACAGGATGTTATCATAATGTACCATATAAACTTCCCATTTCAGAATATCTGCGAAGGCTGCTCCGGAAAGCTGAGGAACACTGCAGTTTAGGCAGTTCTGAAGCAGTGTCTACTCTCTATCGCAACAAGCCATCCTCCTATTTCGATGACATCCGGTTGAACCACAATAACATCATGAAACCTTATCTGAAGGACAATGGCGGAGACCAACGCTGTCCAATAAATGGGAGACTGAAGGGTCTTTTCTTTAACGTGACACTTACGGATGGACAACTGCCAGTTAAGTCGCCTTTTGGAGACAGGAGAGTGAAAATGCCACTGAGCGAGGTTTTTGATGATTCAGCAAAACTTTACTTTGCTGACTTCTACTGCAAGCCCTCACGCAGCCGTGTTCACTACGTCACCTTGGTCCTGACACATTCAGGATCAGAGGCAGACAGTTTCTGTCAGACACACCTGCTGAAGCTTGATTCAGACACCAACATGTATTTGCGAAAACCATACCTATCTAGCACATACGAAACACTGGACCGTTCTGCAGTTCACGTGGAGGTCATGTTTACAGAGGCCGTGAACATGACACACAGGGTTCTCTCCCCTACTGGTACCTTTGGTCGAGGCCACAGCACACAAGGTGGGATAAGGAAGACTGTGGGCTGCAGCATATGCAATGTAGGGATCTTTGGATGAGGTCCTCCGAAAGCTCCTGGCAGCACTAAAACTAGGGTACCTCCCAGAAACACCACTTTGGTGTATTGCGTCATAATCAGACAATTCCAAACGGAAAGGAATATATACCGTACTATTAGCCTGTAATCGAATGTATGATACAATGCAAGGGATACCTTATAGCTTAAAAGCGCTGTGTATCAGACCCATCCGTATAACAGATTTGAGAACTAGGGCTGGATTGGATGTGTGATTTCTCATTGTAATTGTACCCGACGGCAATTATAGATGCTCATGCTATGAAGAAATGTTTTTTATGCTTCAGAATGGCTGCTGTGATGTAATATTTATTATATTCTTCAGTGTGAAAGACTGAGTTTTCCGAAGTTGAGAAAAGTGATATTTTCTTTGCAGTGAACATTACACTTGATATGTCACTGCAGTGAACATAACACTTTGAAGGAACTATTGTCATACAAGAGTTACCTCACCTTAAATTGTCTTCCTTTGTCGTAAGTGACTAGCCCGTACACAAACTGTAGACGTTCTTTTTATGTTAGGTCCACATTTACAAGGCAAAATAATGATAGACGGTCGTTGATGGAGTTAATATCACTTCTTGCCGTTTGTTATTCTCTCGAAAATGTTTACTTATAAACCGTAAATTTCTCATTTGACACAATCGATACTGCTCATCTCGCAAAGTGCCATTTTTGTTACTTGACCAGCATGTATTCTTTCGCTTCCAACAGCGGTCTCCTAGTTTTCAAGAATCTTTTTTGTTAAAGATGAAATTGTATATAATCATATCTAAATGTATGATTAAGGATTTTTGCGACCCTTAATATTTTTTTAGACTTTTGTTTATATTTTGTAATATTTTTCAAATACGAAACTACTTTTTAAGTCGCAAATACAAGGGGTGGTGAACCGTTCCTGTGTGTTAGGTAGGGAGAATGTACGTCTCAAGGTTTTATATTTGTAACGAAATAATGTAATTTTCTGGTAGACAAGTACACAAAAAGTATATAATAAATAGGATATTTCATGTGTCGAGTGAAATATCACATGGTTCTCTCATCGAGTGACGGGGAAAAGGGGATATTATGTGAAAATATGTCCTTTCCCACAGTCACTCGATGAGAGAAACATGATATTTCATTCGACACATAAATACTCTATATATTCCACCATGATATTGAAGAATGCTTGATTCTTATTGGTTAAAAAGAAGTTTCCTTTTTGCTAGGGAAACACCTAGTATAGCCTTTTCACACAAAATATGTGCGTATGAATACATTGATAGCCTACATATCGATTCATAAAGAAATGGCTGCCGATCGATCACCACAAGGAACTGTAAAACGTATCGATATTTCCTCTAATACGGGCTTGGTCTCTAATGTCTGCTTTGGTGATGAGATTACAAGATTGTACGAAGGTATATCTTTTTCATACAAATAAAAGGTTTATGAAACAGTTAGGGACATGTTCGATCGTCATTGAAAAAACTGACAGTGAAAGTAGAATATGACATTATAAAAATGTGTTTGAAGAAACTTGAATCATGACAACATGTTGTTTACAAACCTTTTTATGTTAGATATCCATTGCTATCTCCATCAACCACCATCGTAAGGATATGGCAAGAGGGGATTTGAAAATCCATCAGAGTAGATACCTCTTGTTTAAACATTTGAAACCTTGCGCTAAAGCGCCCGGTTCCAAATTAAAACACGAGGTATCTACTCTACAGCGGGATTACATCAAATTTCAAAACACAGTAGGTTTATCTCCTGAATAACATTCACCTACTCAAAAGTGACGAGAAACACACAGCTGATAAAAATAACAATGATCACCTGTATTTTTTATTATATTCTTGAGGCATCATAACTGGCAGTCATGTATGGTCATGTGATAATGATGTAATAAAAATGACATTGACCTATTCAAAATTGATGAGGATTACAGAGCCGATCTGTGTAAATGGCAATGACCACCTGTATTTTTTAATATGTTCTTGATCATCATGATTGACAGTCATGGTAGTTGTGTGTTGCCAAGACATTACACTTATGACCGACCATTTGATTTTTTAAGGTTTGATTTTATTTTGAGGCAAGATATTTTCTCTCTTCAATCTAAGAGGGAGTGTCATGTAAAACTGACATGTTATAATAAAACATAAAGTGCTTTTCCGTTTTGCATTTTCAGGGAGGGTCATGAAAAAAGGACATGGGGAGAGCCTTTTATCAATGTCAATGTTAAAAGGAAAACAAACATACAAACAACTTGACAAACAAATAACGGGAAATCTCCTTTGAAAACTGCCATTTCACAATTCTTCCATGCATGTCATTATCATTAACATATGTACATTACCTTGTGTTTCACAAAACATGTTACACATATGTAATACTGCTGTTTAAATATATGTTTTTTGTAGTATGACCGGAAGTATATTTTAAATATATTCACTATATTTACTATATCATATACATCCATGATGAATGTTCTGTGTATGCATTCTTGTTTCTTAATCACATTCGGGTTCAAAGTGGTCCCCATCAACCTCTTGGCGACTTAATAGATCGACTGGTCAGGCGTGGTTTCTGGTTAGGCAACGCGTCCTTGTATCTCAGTGGTGTATCTCAATTGCGATAGTCGTAATATCAATCACTGGATTGTCTGGTCAATGCGCGTTTATTTACAGATCGCCGTCACACAGCTGGAGTATTCCCGAATACGGCTTTAAACAGCAAATAAATGAAAGCAGAACAAACAAACAAATCATATGGATTCATTCTTAGATCTACACACAGGAACTATGTGGCATATTGTGTGATAATAATATATAAAAAGTCAACGCCATTGAATATCCAGGTTCGATTCAAGCCGAAACAGATCCCATTCGGCGTAAAGGGCCACTGAATGGACCACTTAAAATTAGTGACAGCACCAGGTGTTCTCGAAAAGGGTAAGCATGTCCTCATAGGTAGCTCCCGCCAGTCACACAATTTGCATAACAAAATATTTATTGCCTGACGCCGCATAGCAGTATTTAACACTAAACCGGCGTTAGCTCGTACTACTGTTCGGTGTAGAGGTACAAGCAACATAATCACGAGAACCGCGGTGAACCCAAGTCCTACTAAAAAGAATAATCTAAACAGGCTATTTTTCTGTGCTGAGGTGAGAGACCCGTATTCGTGGTAGCCAAGTATCTATATCACCAATGATTCCATATCTGTGTTGTACATAGAAAGTCGAAGTGAAAGTCGAAATTCAATGAAACGATAATGTCAGCTATTTTTGTGTATGACAAAACAGCCCGATTGCACAATTGTGTATATGCCTTTGTAACGCAAGCCTACGCACAGGACAGAACTGTTACAGCCAGTCCTCTTTTATAGTGGTGCGAAAACACATGACCATGGCTGTTGGGTGAAGGTCAAATGCAGGGAAAGGTATAGTTTTGTGCAATATACCAGTACTCAGCTAGAAGACCAAAATAGACGTGTTCGTTCCTGCTGTTCGTAGAATGCATGATTGAGTGACTAATTCGTAGCTGGCAATAAAACAGAATGTTAGAATTGCAATGACTTACATTTTTAGTTATCATACCTATATATTCTCTCTTCAATTTTGTATACATGTTTACTACACCTTCCAAATGGAATTTAACTATATTATTGTTGTTAGTGAGGCTTTGACAATAACATTACTGACAATGATTGTGTTAACCACATAATCAACCAACCAATCATAACCCCTTGTAGAGCAGATATCCTTCACTTATATGACCTCTGAAGAATATTTGTCTGATATACGAGTGGTCCACACTGAAGCTCAAGGTCATCCAACGTACACAATAACTCGAGTATTTAAGATTAGAAATTGACGAATCCTGGTATACATGATCTCTAGGGTGGGGTTTATTTACAGTAAACAACCTCATTCAGAAAGTATTTGTCAATAGGGAGACGTCATACTTGTGAGCCCCATCTAAATAGAGGATTAACCACTGTGTTCGGTTGTTACCGAAATATCTACACACGAGTGATTAATCTGTCACGATTAGAACGAGGCTTTATCTTTTTTCTCCCATTACAATACGCCATAAAAAGCCGAGCTCGTAGTTGAAAATTTCCCGTGTTCATTAACCACTCGGGATTCCCCCAAGCCTCGTTTTCGAATATGCTCAGTGAGACAACTGCACCATAAACAGGTAAAAAGGATCTAGCGAAGACAACCCACACGAGTTTTCCCGTGACAGGCAAGCCACATGTTCGCAATCATGTTATGTTTTTTGTGAACTATTAAAAGCTGATGGGAGTAACGTTTTGAGAATTTGTAATGTGATTTGATATTTGTTAATGGTTTTGGATTACTCGGCCCATAACTTTATTTACGTTTGTCTCGCCGTGACTATCATTCTCAATGCGCAACACTACATAGACCCATCTTTTTAGTGTATGTAAATACGTTACTCATTTATTTGTCCTCTAGAAACAAATGTTATAAACCCAATTAAGACGAAATTAAATATTGTCTTAAATATTGTGAAATATTGTTAACGAAAAACAAGGGCCCAGGGAACTATCAGCAGGATTGATCAGGCAAGATTCTATAAATACCAACTCAGGCAACTGATCAGCTGATTACTGCAAGGTAAATCTTCTCAAATCCATAACTGGATTGTAATATCTTTTAACGAATTTTCCTCTTTAAAACTAATTTTACAGTGAATAATTTAATATGTTAAATGATGATTATTTCATGTCATCTTTTTTTGTGTTTGTTTTGTTTTGTTCCTGAACATGGTGAGCACATGTGTTTTTTTCTTTTGAACTTAATATTTAACATCATAACACCAAAAATGGTACTAAATGAGTTATCTAATTTCCCCATATTTGTGAATGACCAGAAACAATGTGAATTTGACAAGCACAATACTTTATTGTGTGTAAAACATAAATACATAGGATATATGTAAACAATAAATTATTATTTCAATAGTTATACAAACATTTGCAGTTTAATACCCTTGTAATGTTATATTGTTATTTTACTGCAACAGTTATCTCCAAACTAAATTCTTTTCTTATTTTATCAGATTAGAAATTAAGACTTACTGATAATAGGTAATTTAAAATTAACATTTTCTTCTTTTTATCTTCATGAAAACAAGACTCATAATAAATATATATATTAGTGACCTGTTCATATATGATTTTTTTGTATAAAGTATTAAAATTAAAATTAGACATAAGGTTTATGGTGAAATGTTATATGACAACCTCTTGTTGGTCATTTCTTCATCACCCATAAATTTGAGATTTTCTTTACTTACCATGTTCTGAAAATTTACACATTACACATTAGAATAATTTAAGGTCTCTGATTAAAATAGCAACACAGCTTTCCACTCTCAGGCAGCCAATTAGATTATGTGAACAAAACAAACCACTGTAAACCTTGTAATGGGAGAATAATACATAAATAATACATTTCTTATTTGTCATATGTCCAGTGTATCATCCCAAGAAATGCTAAATAATTATCATTAAAATTAAGTTAGCTATGCATATTGGGGCTCCTTATTTGCTATGATAATATAACAATTGCATTATTAAAGAATGTTTTTTCAGTAAACAAGGAAAATAATCTTTGGTTTAAACAATATTCTTAAGACAAACATAATTCTACATGTCTTTAATACTCTGTATTGTCTGTTTATTCTGAAAGTAATTAACTCTGATATTCAGTTTCTACCTAAAAATAATAATATGAAATTACTTTTGAGACTATTTCATCCTATCTAAAATACTAAATATATTTTAAAATGCATACATGTAAGAGTTGTTGAAAAAAATTAATATTGTTTTTGAAAAAAATACCTTATAAGGTTGATTGGTGCCCACCATCTTTATCTTCATCATTTTGTCTGCTCCCTATAAGATATCAAAATAGTTAAGAAAAAATATAAATACATATGTTACTTTCTTGAGTTTACATAGATTTTAGTATGACTTAATACATTCAAGTTTAAACGTGGTAATGTTTTTTTTTTAATAATGAGTTTCTTAATTGTCCTGAGAAAGTATGTTCAAATAATTGAAGTAATCATGTTTAAAAATCACCAAATAATTATAGGCCAAAATACATTAATTATATTGATCTGGATAAACTCCACCTGTTGGAGGGGGAGGTCGGGTAGCCTAGTGGTTAAAGCGTTCGCTCGTCACGCCGAAGACCCGGGTTCGATTCCCGACATGGGTAAAATGTGTGAAGCCCATTTCTGGTGTCCCCCGCCGTGATATTGCTGGAACATTGCTAAAAGCGGCGTAAAACCATACCCACTCACTCACTCCTCCTGTTGAAAGGGGAAACAACTGCTGTGGTTGCAAAACATCTTGGTCGTGAGATGTACGGTCAAAACATCTTGGTCGTGAGATGTACGGTCCGTCCGGCAAAGTTTGAGCGTTTCCTGCATTAAAATTGAGCATTGCTTTAGATCCAAATTATTTGAGTGTTTATTTTCTTAAAATATGAAATTTAAGTCTCGATTATTTTAATATAACTATGAAATATGTTTTTGATCGATCGGCTCTAGATCAACACTTCGTTATAACGTGACATTTCTTATGTGGTTGCATGATAGTTATTTTTTTAAACAATACCAAAAACAATATGGTTTGTTTCACTATTTCATCGGTATTTTACATGAATTAATTAACTGTTTCATTAGCTTTGCTATTAGCCTTGAAAACGTACAGAATGTACCGGAGTGGCTCACCTGGTCCCATGCGGTATCGCGCTTCGGTTACCGTCTTCTCATTCTGCAACTGAATCTGGTACATTGGGAAGCCGAAATTCTCTGATATATCTCCACATATCACACCCCTTCTTCCCCCCCAAATTGTCTCTCGGTCACCAACCTTCGGAGATGAAAACATCGTCACCACGGTAATGTTTTGCCAGCTGGGGATTTCCTGTACTAGACGACCTCGGGTATCCCCGATCCGAAAATAGTGCCGTCAATTATTTTTAGCCAGCCAATCAAAACGCGATGACACAATCCTCCACTCTCAGCCAGCCAATCAGATTGGGTGATAAAAATAAACCACTGCGAATACACCACGGCTGGCGATTGAAGATCAAGCCCTGTTATGGGAGAAGTAAGGTTCTCCCATGTGATTGGATGATATTGTGATAATGGTGAGTACGTGTGGAGTAAATGTCCCATAAAAGTTGTGAACATGCTATCTTGAGCATAAGGATATATAATTAAAAACCCTCGCTCTTCCCCAAATGGCTTATATTTACCAATCATAATGGGAGGACGTGGTTTAATTAATGTGGAGGCTCTTCATGATAGAAATGTTTTGTGCAATTTTGCACACATTTATTTGTCTGATGATCCTCTTGTGAAGCATGTCAAGACCGAGCCGAGCTTGTGGGTTTCACCAGAGTGGAAAATGTTGAGACCTGCATCACTTCGGGTTTTCCTCCCACATTAAGCTGACACGCCGTAATATAACTTGAATACTGTTAAAAGCGGGGTTAAACCCAACCCACTCACTCACTCACTTGGGTTGAGGAGCCAATGGTTAACCATGAAGTTACCTAAGCACGTAGGTTATTACTGCGAATGCATCAAACTGAATGTCAATCTGAATATGATGGTTATTCAAACATGAATCAACCAAGGGAGCTAACTCTTACATCATTATCATTCTGTTTATCGAAGGGCAATCATACCTAGGCATAATATGGCAGTTCATGAACTAATAAATAATAGTTAATAAATGGGGGAATAACGTGACGTTAGTTTGATTAATCAACTGATATACATAGACGTTTGGCAACTTAATAAGAATGAATGACAAATACTTTCTTCATACTGCATCAGGAAACGATTATGAAAAATGCATAAAATGTGACCATCGTAAAACACATGAAAGTGGTGTATTAGATGTACATGTATCTACCTTCCCTATTGGAAACAGTGGTTGATAGCATGAGCACCGAACTACGCTGAAGGTACATACAATCGGCCACGCCCTGTAACACTCATTCCTCTTAAGGCTTTCACTGAAAGCATCGGTACTTGTTCTGATCCTTACACTGAATGAAAAAGGTGTAGAGGAATGAATAGATGTAATATTGTAGACAAATACACTAGGGGGCCATGTCCCGACTTTAAATGCGTTCAGGTAAGCATAACCTCTAATATTCCAGGAAAGGTATCTTACGTCATACTTAGAATTCAAAATCGAAAGAGAAAGTAACAGTTTTAGGATTCACGTACGTGTCCAGGTTATCTTGATCAATTAACAACTTGATGGCACAATATAATGTTTGTACACGGGTTTATTGGGATAATAATAGTGCCAACGTAACAAACATTACGACCCCAGTCACTGTATGAAGAAGAACGAGAAAAAGTAGTAGCTTGAGACTTCGTAATGGCTGAAGGAGGGTCGAGAAAAGGTAAGATAAGAAGTGTTTGTGTTTGTGTGTGTGTGTTGTGTTGTGTTGTGTTGTGTTGTGTATCGCCGCAGCCCAAACATTATCGAATCTTATAATCCAGTGATATTGTGAGCAGCGAGCCACGTCGTCAGTGTACGCTGAAACGTAGTCGTCAAACCTGATCACCCGATCCATTTGCCCGTCTCTTACCACAAGTAGGCAATTTCTGAAGACCAATTCTAACCCGGAACATTCAGGGGGGCAGTGAATTTCATAACGCCTAACGCTCGTACTTAAGCAGCTCTCACACTTTGCCGAGGTGGTTGCCGAGCTCTCCCGAGCCTAACTCGGTTAGGACTCGGGAAGAGACTACATATATACGAGTATCATACGAGTACGCTACGAGTGTGTGACGAGGACCACAGGAGTCCAATAGGAGTCTATTAATTAATAGAGTTGCATACGAGCACAACGATCTCGATACGAGCTGTACAAGTTTGGTACGAGGTGGCTACGAGCTGCTAATGCTACCATCACATCAAAGTAGTTCTATCCCGTTCTACCCCGTTCTAAACAAAATACTAGAACGGGCTGTGTTCACGGTATAGCGCATAGTTTGGCGTAAAATACTATGATAGTTCGTTCATAAGCAGTCCTCAATACGTCTATCTCGTTCTTAGCCAGTCTGCAGTCCGTTTTTATCCAGTTCAGGTCGAGTAAATGTGCCCGTTCACCTCATCCCGACAACGTTTCGAAGCAGTTCGTAGCCGTTCTCAACCCGTTCTTAACCAGTTCAACCTCGTTCTACCCCGTTCACAATACGTCAAAGCCAGTTCTACCTAATTCTTAACCCGACCAACTCGTTCGCAGTACATCCTCATCTCGTCCCAAGTACGTGTGTATTCGCGTCCTGGCCCGACACCTATGGATACCTAGCGCGTTGTAGCCAGTTTTCATTCAAGTTCAGGGCTCCGAGCTGTACACATCATGTCTCCAAAGAGAAGTCGTCCCGGTCGGTGTGCACACGTTGTGAAAATTATGTCGGACTGCACCACGTCGTAACACGTCCCTAGTAGGTTCGAAGTACGGCAATCCCGTTCGAAGTACGGCAATTCCGTTCGTAATACGTCTTTCTCGTTTTAAGTACGTTGTTAATCCGACTAATTGCAGAACGGGATGGACGGGATAAAATTTTGAGCAGACTCAAAGTTCTAGAACACCCTCCCCGTCCGAGCCCGTCCATGAAGTTCGTAAAAAGACTGTCAATAGTTGCTACTACGTCCACTACGTTCTTACACAGTTAGAACCCGTTCGACAAAATTTTCATGAACCTATTGAGAACTAGTTTGTTGTGATGGGGGTATAAATAATTCGGCGGGAATTACACTCGTATAGCTCGTATTAGACTCGGTCAACTAGGCAATAAATTTTGCAGACGATCCTCATACGAGTTCTGTACGAGCACCACGAGGTCGCCACAGGGTACTATGAGTAGGACGTGTGTGTTACGAGTTTGTTACGAGTTTCTTAGGAGTTGGCTGGCGGCCCGACTGTTTTGAGCAGATCAGTACGAGGTATCCCGAGTTACCCCGAGTTTAGTACGACTTCGCTACGAGCTCCATACGAGTACCCCCGAGTCAGCTCGGGTCCATACTCGGACGCAACTCGGCAAAGTGTGAGAGCCCCTTAAGTCTTCATCCACCTGCACGAGGGTGACACTGAGTTTGCCTCACACATTTTGAAATCTTCTCTTGTCCTTGAGACTAAACACAGAGAATTTTTTCCAGATAATAATAAAAGACAATAGACCTCACCACCCTAGCTCTTCCCTCAATCGCTTATATTTACCAATCATAATGGGAGGGCGTGGTTTGATTAACGTTGGGGCTCTTCATGCTAGAATTGTTTTGTGCACTTTTGCACACATCTATTGATGATCCTCTTGTGAAGCATGTCAAGACAAGGCATTGCACAGTTTTCTTAAAGGATGTGGAACAAAATCTCAATGTCAGTGCTGATTTTGTTGATGGTTCTGTACTGCTGGACGGTACAGAAATGAGTGTCAACCAAGCGAAGTGCTGTATCAGATCGGCCCAGACTATGTTTAAGTGTGTTGAGAAGATCAGCAACTCTGGAGAGTCCTTCGCTTGGATGAAGTCGGCTGGCCTGAAAAGTGAAACAGAAGGCTTTCTGTTTGCTGCTCAGGACCAGTCACTTCCACTCGAAACCGTCAACGTGTAATTTGGCATCAAAATGTAAATATAAAATGTAGAATATGCAATTAATTCAATGAGACTGTCCAAAACATTGTCAGTGGATGCCCAGCTTTGGCACAAACACAGTATCTTAAGGGACGTGATGGAGTGGCTCGATCATTTTATTGCCGTTTTCGCCATCCTTTTGGTTTTGACAGATAGGTCCATCCATGGTACGACCCGGAATATGTAGAGGGTGTCATGGAAAATGATAAATACAAAATACTTTGGAATAGGTCCGTATACAGCATCAGACGTATCAAGGCCAACAAACCTGATCTTGTCCTATTTGATAAATCCAATGAAATCATTTATATTAGGGAATTTTCTGTCATTTTTGACCCTTTTCTGTGATTGACAAGATTGAGGAAAAACATGGCAAATATGCAGACTCCGCTTTCGAAATGTCACGCTTGCATCCCAAGTACCATGAGCTGATGATGAGCCTAACCAGTATGACTGTATCCTCTTTGCTGCATTTTTTATGTTAATCTGTAACTACTACTACTACTACTACTACTACTACTACTACTACTAGTACTACCAACAGGCGACGAAGCCTTTACCATTAAATGAAATCATGCGAATCAGTCAATGGTGAAATATGTCAAATATGTGCTGAAATATGTACTTTAGTCTCTGCATAATGCGGTTCACCGCAGGTGACAGTCTGAGCAACACAGTTCCTCTTTGTTGGTGTCCATTTGTTCACTGGAATAGGTTAGAATAGAAATGAACTCAAAGATCTAATGTTTTGGATTTGTGATGAGAAACATGATGCTGTATTTATTCACGCTATGGAATTCCGATGGGTTTCCCAAGGTGTTCTTAGCCACTCCAAGATAACAGGTTCGTGAAAAACCTATAAAAGTTAAACTGTGTCTGTTCCTCGGACATGTGACCAACGACAATGTAGTCGCATGTAAAGAAACAAAACAATGTTATAAAGAAAAGCTCCCGACTAAAGGACAAAACATGTTAAAGAAACATTTGACAATTTTGTTGATTTGTTGTTGGAAAGGCGGAAGGTTTCTACGTTTGTAATATTGTAAAAACATGAATACTGTGACACAATATTCGCCGTGACGTGTACAACCAATCAAAAGGTTGGACGAACGCAGTTATCTGTGTTGTACCGACAGACTGATCTGACCAATACATGAGGTAAAAATGTTTTATGTATCAATATTTCCTGACATATATGTATTTTACATGTACACGTGTTCATATCGAGTGCGAGATACTAAGGTACGTAATCTTTATCTGATATCCAGAATGTTGTCTAAACCTGACTCATTGTTTTGTAAAACCAAAGGCATAGTAATTTGCCTACGTTTGACAGACTATTACACCCCACCCCCACCTCTTCCAGTTAGTATGATTTAGTATGATAATTATCTTTGTTCATTTGCTAAAGAGGCCCAATGCCAATTGCTGCATTTCTGTTGTAGAATACCTTGAAAGGCTACTGGCTAAAGCTGAGAGACACAGCACCGGAAGCGTCGCTGAGGTCGTCTCCCTTCTATACCGCAATAAACCAATTGGCTACTTTCGCCACATTCTAGAGAATAATAATGGGAAAATGCAAAGACTAACCAAAGATATGGGAGGGGATCCACATTGTCCAATCAATGGAAAGCTTAGTGGACTTTTCTTTGGTGTTACTTTATTTAAGGGTGGCTTGCCGACCATATCTCCATTTGGGGACACCAGAGTGACAGTACCCCTGAGTGAAGTCTTTGATGATTCGGCAAATCTGTATTTTGCTGATTTTTATTGCATGCCTAGGGGTAAACGTTTGCATTATGTGACCCTAGTTCTGACCAAAACTGATTCGGAGGCAGACCGTTTCTGCGAAGAAAACCTGATCAAACTTGATGCATACAAAAACAAATATTTAATAAGGAGTGGGAAGCAGACATATCGGTCCCAGACACGTAATAAATTAACTGTTGAAGTGTTCTATACAGAAGATGTGAACATATCACGTAGGAACCTGACGCATACACGTATATATGGGCGGGGACAAAGCGTTGGGGGAATAGGAAAATCTGTTGGATGTTCCACATGCAATATTGATGTTCATGCACATTTGAAACATCAGAGGGAATGGGTAGGTGTTAGTCAATGGGAATATGGTGAAGATCCATACGAAGATGATGAACCACACTGTCAGGTAGATGATGATCCATACAGAGACGATGATTCACAGATAGAGTATGACCCATATCAAGACTTTGGGCCATTTGAACATGATGAGCCATTTCAAGATGACGGGGCTTCTGAGGATGATGAACCATATCAAGACGATGAACCATATCAAGACGATGAGCTGTATCAAAACGATGAGCCGTATCAAGATGATGAGCCGTATCAAGACGATGGGCCGTGTCAAGATGGTCAGCCGTATCAAGACGATGGGCCGTGTCAAGATGGTCAGCCGTATCAAGACGATGAGCCGTATCAAGACGATGGGCCGTATCAAGATGCTGAGCAATATCAAGATGATTGGCCATATCAAGATGATGAGCCGTATCAAGACGATGAGCCGTATCAAGACGATGGGCCGTATCAAGATGGTCAGCCGTATCAAGACGATGGGCCGTGTCAAGATGGTCAGCCGTATCAAGACGATGGGCCGTGTCAAGATGGTCAGCCGTATCAAGACGATGGGCCGTATCAAGATGGTCAGCCGTATCAAGACGATGGGCCGTGTCAAGATGGTCAGCCGTATCAAGACGATGGGCCGTGTCAAGATGGTCAGCCGTATCAAGACGATGGGCCGTGTCAAGATGGTCAGCCGTATCAAGACGATGGGCCGTGTCAAGATGGTCAGCCGTATCAAGACGATGGGCCGTGTCAAGATGGTCAGCCGTATCAAGACGATTGGCCGTATCAAGACGATGGGCCGTATCAAGATGCTGAGCAATATCAAGATGGTCAGCCGTATCAAGACGATGAGCCGTATCAAGACGATGGGCCGTATCAAGACGATGAGCAATATTTAGATTATGAACAATATTAAGGTGGTGAGACATATCAAGACGATGATCAATATCAAGATAATGAACGTTATTAAGGTGGAGAGACATATCAAGACGATGTTTGAAGATGATGATCCAAACAGATATGACGATGATCAATACATTGGTGACATTTGAATGATGTTGACACAGCATATTCACCGGAGAGTAAAAATGTGATTACAAGATATTAAGAAGTGATGCAAGAACAAGGTGTGTACTAGTATTGGCATAGATGCCTACACTTTACCATCCAAAGAATGGGTGTGGATATTGTCGTTTGGAGGAGCAGAATAGGATGTTTTTGTCCGAGAAGAAAACACTCACATGGAAGTCACCCCGGTATACAGCTACCAAGTGGTATAAGGTTGGTTCTGAGACTCACACTGTTTTCATTGTCGCTTTTATTGATAGCGGGAGATGTTGAATCCAACCCAGGACCGACCCAAAATACCCCCTTCTTCAGAAAGAGTAAAGACTAGATTATCGCACAAAATGTTTCTGGCCAATGTTTGACTACTGACACGTCACATAGCCAATCAACACTTGAAGATCTTGCTATAACACCCAAAGCAATACAAACACAGATTACCTCCCTATGATGACAAACTTCGTGACTTTCAAGAGGAAAACACAAGTTTGAAACAGAAACTTGATGCCCTGGAATCCAGAAATGACAGCATTGAAGCACAGTCTCGAAGATCAAATTAAATCTTTCATGCTCTGCAAGAAAAGAAGAGTGAAACATGGGAAGAGTGTGAGTCATGTGTTAAAGATTTTATGGACGTTACCCTAAACATCGACTTCAATCCATCAGCATAGAAAGAGCACATCGGCTGCACTCAAAATCTGGAAGTAGACCGATAATTGCCAAGTTCTCTTTCTACAAGGACAGAGCAGCTGTGATGGAAGCTGCCAGGAAGTTTCTAAAGGGAAATAAAGAGTACAGGGTTTCAGAAGACTACACCCGGGAGTGAGAGGAGTTCGATCAAAGTTGTTTCCCTTTATGATGAGAGCCAGACAAGAGGACAAAGTTGTCTATTTGAGCTACGATAAACTTGTAGTTGATGGTTCAGTTTTTGTTCTGGGAGACGACGACACATAAATAAGACAACTTGGACAGCTTAGGAACTGGACAAGATCATCACCCAATCCTACTGAGACATCATCGCCGTCTGCACCTGCTGCTGGGTCATCATCAACAACGTCTCCATCAGCTTATAGTAATGGAAAATAGGGTGGTGGTCGTGGGCTCAATGACACTCATGAAAATAACACTGATTCTACACTTAACATATTGAATATATGTTCCTGGAACATCCAAGGACTAAAATCCAAGAATGAATTTGGTGACTTTATTTCATTCTGCCTGGATCTTGATATATTCTGTTTTGTTGAAACAATGTGTACAGATGCTAGTGATGTATTAACGAACGTATTCAGTAACTATGATTATTATGTTTGTGATGCAAAACGTCTCTCTGAACGTGGAAGTTTATCTGGTGGAATTGCAGTTTGCATAAAATATTGTTTGGCGGGATACTTCGAGAGAGTTTATTCACATTGGGATAATGTTATCTTTTTCAGGATTGTGAATGCTGAAAGTCCAATACATGTTTTCATTGCTTTTGTCTATATTCATCCTGAATCATCTCCGCTCTACAATAAGGGTGAAGAAAATGGTATAGATAGATTGGAAAGTCAGTTAGTACAGATCAAACATGATTATGATGAGTCCTGTAAATTCATCTTATGTGGTGATTTTAATGCAAGAACGGGGTGCGACCGGGATTTGATTCTTGATGATGATGTGAAGTACACTCTTCAAAAAAGGAAACGCATAGGTGTTTTGAGAATTCCAATTAGATATTTTCCCCCAGCAATCGTCATAAAGACAATTCTTTTGTTTGATTCCCGTTAATCATGTCATGTTTGTTGTGCATTGCGCGCAAACACATCTCAAATTTTTTTTGTAAACGTTTATCAGCAAAAATGAAAAGGATGCACGGAAATTGCTTTCAGAAAAAGTTTTCAGCACAATGCACGTGCAAAATGTTGGAAACAAGAGTAGAGACACTGACTATATAAGACCTGCAGCTGACAGAAATATCGCCATTGGACGTTGGGAAGCAGGGGAGTCCCAGTCTGCTGCTTCAAGACACTTCAACGTTCACCAAAGCACCATATCTCGACTATGGGATCGATATACCCGCACTAATCCGACTCAAGATCATCCCAGAAGTGGAAGACCAAGAGTGACCAACCCTGCTCAGGATCAGTGCATCGCCTTCGGAATCGATTTGCTACAGGAACGGACACTGCAGGACAAGTGCCTGTTATGCGAAGAATATCCGACCAAACCATCAGAAATCGTCTGAGGGAAGAGGGAATTCGAGCGAGACGACCAAAAGTTGGACCTGTCTTGCGACGTCTACATCGTCAACGACGTGTCCGGTGGTGCAACAGAGTACAGGCATGGGATCTCAGGAACTGGCGACGCGTTTGGTTCAGCGATGAGTCACGTTTTCTTCTTCAACGACGGGATGGAAGACAACGTGTATACCGACGTTGACATGAACGTTTTGCGACGAACTGCGTTCGACAGGCGGACCGATTTGGTGGAGGGAGTGTCATGGTGTGGGGAGCCATATCCTACACGGGAAGATCACAGTTAGTGGTTGTCCAGGGCAATCTTACAGCAAAACCGATACATAGACCAAATTCTGCGTCCTCACCTCCTCCCAACTTTGGACGCCAGAGGGAGCTGTTCCAACATGACAACGCTCGGCCGCACACAGCACGTGCAACAGTTAATTTCCTTGTTAATGAGAACATCAATGTCCTCCCATGGCCGTCCAAATCGCCTGATCTCAACCCGATTGAACATTTGTGGGACGAACTTGATCGACGCCTCCGTCAACGTTACCAGCGTCCCCACACACTGGCACAACTCGCCAACGCCTTACAGCAGGAATAGCGAAGAATTCCCAAAGAAAAAATCCGACGACTTGTGCAATCTGTGCCAAGGAGGTGTCGAGCAGTGACGGCTGGAAGAGGTGGTGTGACTAGGTACTGACCGTGACGCCCCCTTGTGCAATGTGCAATGACTGAACTGAATTAATGCTGACAATGACGACAATGCTTTTACCGATCACTGTGTCTAATTTAATTTGATTGTGTTCACGTATATATTCTGTGTAGATACTTTTACATCCGCTTAATAAATATCATTTTTCAGTTACAAGAAGTGTTCGTGACTATAAAACAAATAAGTATGGTAGAGCTTTACTGGACTTGTGTAAATTAATCGGCATACATATTGCAAATGGCAGAGCCCCATTTGTTATCCCGAGTAACTTCACTTTTGCGTCACATACAGGATGCAGTACTGTAGATTATTTCATAGTTTCCAGTGATCTTTCCCCAAATGTCATTGACATGTTATCCAGCGTACAGATTCAGATTATATGCCCGTCAAATGTACAATAAAAAATGAAATATACAATCAAGTAATAGAATCACCAGAAACCACAGATGGTATGGTGGAGACTGTTCCTAGATATATTCTACCAGTTGAAAACTTGGGGTCATATTTACACTGTCTTCAGAATACTACAAGTCAGATTATGTATGAACTATTCTCAGTGATATTAGATGATAACATTAACAAAGCCATTGACAAACTATCTGAAATTATGATCCACAGTGCTCAAAATGGAGGAGCTTATGATACAGCATCTAAGCAAACTAGAAGATCACAACCTCCTTGGTTTGATGAAGACTGTGTTCAATTCAAATCAGAGAAATATAGACTTCTGAACAAGTTCAGAAAATATAACTGTGCGCTAAATTTGCAAAAATACATTGATGCAAAGGCAGATTTTAAAATGTGCTGTGGAAGAGAGAAGAAAATTTATAATATGAAAATGAGTGATGAGATAAATGCAGCTGTCAAAGGATAATGACTGCAAGAGATTCTGGGATACACTTGCCCCACAAAACAAGAACTCTAGTAATACAATATAACCTGACGTTTGGGCATCCTATTTTGAAAACTTATTGCACCCTGCAACTACAGAAGATAATTCTGAATTTGATCATTCGGTTTTCCAATTCCTTGATAACCATTCTTGCGAAAATTGTAGTATATATTTTACTAATGATCTATCAGACAAAATCACTGCATACGAGATAGAAGAAGCCATTTCCAAGCTAAAACTCGGCAAAGACAATTAAATGTATTGCAATCATTTTGTTTGAAATGGGGACTTGGGGTAAATTTAAATAAAACAAACATAATAGTATTTAGAAATGGTGGTATTGTTGCCAAAAGGGAAAAGTGGACTTATGGACTTAAGTGGACCTCGGTCAAGGTTGAAACTTACTATAAATATTTGGGTATCATGTTTTCTTCTAAATTATTGTGGTCAGTAGCATGTAAACAACTTGCTATTCAAGCTTCAAAAGCATGTATGCCTGTGTATAAATTGTTTAAACAAAATAAGTATATATCATTTTCAACAGCATGCAATATTTGTTATTGTAAAATTGCACCAATATTACTATATGGTTCGGAAATATGGGGAACGAAATATTATGCTGCCATCGAAAAAGTACATACCTCATACTTCAAACGTTTTTGGGGTATTGGTAAATATGCCTCAAATAAAGCAATTCTTGGTGAAACTGGACGCTGCAATATGTTTGTGCATAGCCAAGTAAGAGTAGTTAAATACTGGATAAAGTTACTTAGAATGGAAGAATGTAGATATCCTCTTCAATGTCATAAATTGTTAAAGCATTCGAATGATAAAGGTAAACAAAACTGGGTATCTGAAGTAAGAAATCTATTATTTACATGTGGTTTTTCTTTTGTGTGGATTGCACAGGATATTGGAAACATTTAAGTATTTATGGGAATATTTAAGCAGCGAGTGAAAGATATATTTGCACAAACTGGAACGAAACTGTTTCATCTTCGCATTATCTTAGCAATTATAGTAAACTAAAGACACATCTTCAACAGGAAATGTATTTATCTGTCTTACCAGACAAGTCATTAATAAGATCGTTTTGTAAATTTAGAATCTCATTACATAGTTTTTATGTAAATATGTGTCGTGAATCGAAAGATATTGATGCTGTTAACAGTGTTTGTACCAATTGTGACAGAGGTGAAGTTGAAGATGAATTCCATGTCTTATTTAAGTGTAACAAGTAATCCAAGTTAAGATCTACATATCTCCCCTTCTTGAATAATGACTATAAATCTGAAATGTTAATGATCAATATTATCAACTCACAAAATAAACATGTTATCTTTTCAGTGGCTACTTATATAAAGCATGTTGTTTTTTATCAGATTCAAGAAGATGTAATTTCTGTATATGCACGTGACATCATATTATGAGTAAGTATCAATTGTACTTTAGGCCATATGGCTATAATACTGAATAAACCTGTCTGTCTGACTACTGACCATTTGAAGAAGGAGGGTATTGGGAAAACGATGAGCCATAGGGTGATGGATCGAAGGCTGACATCGGGTAATAGGCAGTTGGAAAACCATAATCTAGTTAGTAGAGCAGATGAAGTGAAAACAATTACAAATAATTATATACCCGTGGGGATTCCCGCTAAGAATATATTTGCCCATCAACCTATGCTGGTCGTGAGAGGCGAATACTGATTACCTCCCTTTAGCAGTATGTGTGATTCAAAATCAGAGAGGTAAATAATAGAAAATCAAGAAGAACTTTTCCAATACTATGGGGATATCTCTTCGGCATGGAGAGCTCGAATCGGCAGGTTTGTGCTCCCAAGAGACCACAGGCAAGTAGAAAAGGTTCTTCTCTACATACCTGAGTCAGACAGGATGGAGGGTACAGCAATGGCGTATAGGATTTTGTTGTATACAACTGTTTTTATCACAATGTGGACAATGAGATCGGTCACTGCATCTATGGACCATGCGATGTTTACGTTGGATTTGCCGTCCAGAGGAACCTCGTTTACATACCCAAAACTGAACAGTATCCACGAATTTAGGACAAACCCGTTTGTTTCATTGCTGTTGGTTGAAGGTGAGGTAGAATCGAACCCGGGACCTACGAGTTGGGATTTCGCAGGATCAACCATCGTAAATCAGATTGAGGAATCAGACAACTTATAAAGAGACATACGGTCTTTGAGAGAAAAGGTGCATTCAAGCAAGGCAGGGGTATGTGAACTAAGAACCAGAAGTCAGTGTTAACAGAGAAGAACAGGCTGTTTTCAGACTAGATGTGGATGAAGTGCCTTACAACGTAGTTCATAGTTATGTGTCACACAGTTTGCATCTGTAAAACATTAGGATTGAAATATTTTCGTCCTGGCCATTTTATTGTTTTTAATTTTACTTAATCAGATGACAGACACATTTATATTTACTTTTTATCTTGTACATTAGATAAGTAATGTGTAACAACATATTTGTTGTGTAAAAAAAGTACTTTGTTAAATGCATGGTTGTTTGGATTTCTGAAATCTCAGTCAATCAAACACTCAAACATGCAACAATTCACTCCCAGGGAAAATAGAAATACTTGAATGAATTAGATGAGTTATTTGATAGTTTTTTTAATATTAATTCTATTCTCCGAAATGCACTAAAACATGACTAAGTATTAGTTACACTTAGGTTAGATTTATCATTGTTAAGGTTGAATTTACTGGTTTTATTTATACACAAACAAAACAAATATAACACACAAAGTAAATACACTTATAAACCAATGTAAAAGATTAACCTATCCTGTGAGGTATTTACAACTGTTTATGACTCCAATCTATCACAGTCCTGCTGGTGCAAAGGGTGAATGTGAAGTGCAGATTTGAATTAAGAAAGAGGGCAAGAGTTTGAATGAT